CAATGGGACGGTTTAGAGCAGCGGGAGTTCCCTGATTCTGGCCATAAGGGTCCCCCCTTTGCAACATTCTGTTGGGTAAGACTCAAAAGTAGGACTGAAAACTCTATGTATTACGCCAATGGGACGGTTTAGAGCAGCGGGTGTTCACTGATTCTGGTGAGAAGGGTTTCCCCTTTGCAACATTTTGTTGAGTAAGACTCAAAAGTAGGACTGAAAACTTTATGTATTACGACAAATAGCGATTTTGGCTGGTTTACATCGACTGCATATTTTGGGTGTTGGTGTAACTTGTGTGTTCGGCTTGTCGAATGATGCAGTTCCTTGCTGGTGCCGCGTATTCGTCTGAGCTCAGTACAGTCGCGGTCACTGAATCGTTTCGTGGGCGCGGGGGGCTAAGGGTAAGAGGGATGGTATTCCCTACTGTATTCCCGACTGTACACTTGATAGTAGGTTTGGTTTGGTGCAAAAATGGCTTAGTGGAATACTTGTTATATTACACTTTAGGACCACAAACTACCAAATTACAAGATAAACTATTTACATTCAAATTTAAGGTTGGAGATTCTAGACTTGAGAGCTGAAATTTGAGATTGGAGACGAGATCTAAGATTTGAGAAGCGACTATGAATTCGGGCCTAAATGACAAATAAATTTACATACATTGTGAGAAGAAAATAGAAAGGATGGGCAGAGTAGCAATTTTGACATGACCGAGAAGCGAGGACAAGTTATTGCTATAGTTAGTCGGCAAGGCGCTCGTTGGCGCTTTTAACGATTGAAGGGAAAAGCCACCCCCTTTGCTCTTAGATCTCCTCGCCTATTCTATGAATTTCTGTTGTTCGTCGTACGTTAATGCTATTCGGATGGAGAACGTAAAACTTCCAAGTGAAGTCAATGCGTTTCACTGAAGTAATCACTTGACACAATGTTATGTACAACATTTAAGAAAATACACATTACACTTGTGTAATTTAGACGTGTCCGGTGTGATTTTATTTTCCTCTACTTTTCTTCGCGTTGTAGTGTATTATTAGTTCGGCTGAAACAAAGGCGGTCTCGCGTTCCGAAACTCATCAAGAAAGGGAAGACACGTGTCTGTCGTTTTGTCCAAAGAAAATTTTTCGCTTTCCTTATATTTTATTATATAAGATAATGTTTGGCAAAAGCTCTTACACGACTCTCAAATCATTTAAAGAAAACTTCTTATGTCCTTAATTTTACGTATTTAATTTAAACGGTAAAACATTCTCTTCTACACTTCGTAATCGGACGATGTCATTGGTCGTCGCACACAAGTGTCGCGGAACGGAATACAGGAATCATTATTTTCGATTGCGTTCACTCATCTACGTTTGCGTTGTTTGTGCGAAAATGTTACGTAACGAGATTCTCGATGTTAGACAAACTTACGCAGAAAATAATAAAATTATATGCGCGGAGCGCACGTGTCCCCGCCGCGCATATATAACAACCAGAAGCCAGTATTTTACAGCCCGGCGCATGTCACATGGCCGATTGTGTGTTATCACCGTCTCCCGAGTCCTCTCTGCGTCGATAACGCGTCACGAGTCGCTGGTCAGGGCGTAACCTGATTTTTCGCGGCAGTGAAAATCGCGAATCGCTCGTGTAGAGAGTTTATGGTGGAGATTGATCACATGCGTTTCCCATGACCTGTGTGGTTGTTACGTACAAACATAAGTTGTCTGCATTATCTCCTAATCGGCGCTTATCGAAGTCAGTCGTTGGTCAACCGATCAATCAGTTGCTCAGTGGGTCACCATACGGTCAGAGATTGTGATAAGTCCCCGTTTGACATGTGATAATCAATCAATATATCGTCGCATCTGCGAAACTTTCCTGGCGCTTTTAAGTCTGAACTAATGGAAAAACATGAGTCTTAACATTTACTGCGTATTACGTTCTTGTACGCCGTGCAAACTGTGCGCGCGTCGCACGTGTGCAAAGTCGCTCGTTGCATTTTGTTGAATTACTTTTTCAATGTCACGACTTGTCCGTGATATTGTCAGGTTCGTATGGAAACTTCGTTACCATTAGTTTGTTAAAAATTAACGTTAAGCGATCGGTGATTTTAAAAATAGAGTTGGAATATGTTTCGCACGGTAGAAATGTAGTAAAGTAGAAACTCTCGACGATAAAATGCTTTCGATGTGGTTTTTATGTCTTGAAGAGCGCACGTAAAAAACAAAAAGGAAAAAACGAAATAAACGACACGCGTGCGTTCATAAATTATATTTTCGACGGTAATTATGCATCAGTTATCGCGTTTCCTATTACCACGTTGAAGATTAACTATCTCATAAGTGCGTATTTTCCATTTGTTATGTTTTCTTCGATTTTGTTTCTTGTGATATATTCATTTGTTTTTATTTATTTATTTTTTTTTTTTATTCACCCGAATTGAATTCGCGAATCCACATCAGGAAAAAAGAGAGAATCTTAAGAATTAAATTTCTCTCATCTTTCTTCCTTATTTTGTGTGTTTCTTCTTTCCTAATATCGAAACTTTCTCACAAAGTTGTTGGCGTTTTCGCTCGGCTCGTCCGTCATATATTCGTAGCAACGCATTATGACATCAAGTTGCATCACCTTCTCAGACGTCTCTCTCGTTGAAAATTAATAGATTTAATCAAATTCAATCAACCTCCCGCATTCTGCTCGAATTGAAAGTCATGCTTCGTCATTTGACGAGAGAGCGCGAGATGCGATTCGGTCCAAACGTGATTTTTTACCGCGTCTTCCTTCGTTTTTTCTGCTCCCATTCCCCATATATGTATTTTCCACGCGCGTTTTTCGCAACACACGCGTGTTGCGAATTTCGCACGTCACACGATTCCCAACGTGCGCGTACGTGCGTGTTGTAAATCGCGCGTATTGGGTTTTCTCGGTGTGTAAACCGAGCCGCCGACCGACCGCTGCGTCTATTCATGCCGACCTATCGTTATCATTCTACCAACGTCTCTCTCTCTCTTTCTCTCTTTTCTCCTCTTCTTCCCCGTGCTATCCCCATTCTCTTCTTTCGACGTCCGGCTTCTCGTATCTCCCTCCGTCTTTGGTGTTTAGTCTTGGCGCATTAGCATGGTTCTCTCGACGACTGAAACTTTCGACTTCTCGCCCCTGTTCCCGGCCAGAACTTCGGCCCGTCTTCTTAGTTTACGTCCGACGGCGCGATCGTCCGGTCGATTTTCGTCGGGGCGCCCCGCGTTCCTCTCTTTTCTTCGCGCCTCCTCTTCCTCGCATTCTTTGTTCTTCCCTTCCCGCCACCGCCACCGCCGTCGCCGTCGCCGTCGCCATCGCCGCCGCCGGCGTCTTCTCTCTTTCGCGGAGTCAGCGCGACCAAGTTTTGCGAACTGCCAAGCACATGACGCACGCATTCTGTCGACCACGCTCGAGGATCTTCTGAATCGGTAATTCTTCTCGCTGTCCGCTCGTGGGAACACATTCCGCCGTTATATTTCCACGATCGTAGATTTTGGTCGCGCGTTCCGACGCACGTGCCGCGTGCGAACGGTACGTGCGGCGCGCGCGCGAGCGCGCTCGGTGGATTCATCGGAAAAATAAAACAAGAGACCGATATTGCGCGTTTCGCGATTCTCTCGGAACGCACGTTTGTTAGGAAAATAAAAGTACGCGAATTTCCAAAAGAATTTCGTGTCTGCGAAAAAACGGCCCCGCCTCGATTTGGAATCTGTCGACGAGCGTTTCTTCGCGATGATGTGTCTTCGCCTACGAGTCAGATCTAATTAAATTACTCGCGATGTGTTCGCAGAAGATAATCTAACGGACATTAGAATCGCGGAGTTTTTTGAATCGCGAGATAAGAAAAGAGGAGAATCGACTCTACTTTGTCAATTATCGTTGATTGTCATTATTATTCTTGATACACTTTAAAAAATACGATCTTTCGATCACATCTGGATTTTGTAATTGTCTGTGATAAACAATAAAACAGGAAAAAAAACCAGATGACTAAAGATGACACCAAAAGATAATTTATACACGCGACACTTGTTGCGCGTATCGTAGGGTTTCTTTCATCTTCAACAACCGCATTCCGCGTCGATTAGACATTGCGACATTTTTTTTCGGCACGAGATCAAACGAACCAGCAGCGCGTCGAATATCGCGATGATGTTTCTCAACACGTCGATATTTGACGATATCCCGCGACCACGTGCGCGTCTGCCGTTAGTCTTCGGATCGATTGCTGTTGAGAGGTTTTGCACACGCGACGCGATAAATGATCTAAAATTACACAATATCTCTCATTTGTGCGTTGACCTTTCAACTTGAATTATATTTGCGTCAAAATATATATTCGCACTGCACATGTAGAGGCTCGTAACGAGAGAAAGAGAGAGAGCCTCTGATTTAAGTTGCAAATTATCACGAGATAGTTAATGTTTGTTTGACCTTTTAAATCTCGAGCATCGGATTTCGATAAGAGGAATATTTTTAATTAGAAATTTATTTCGTAGTACTTTTGTAATCTCATATCGTCGATTCCCAACGTCCAACTTTATTATCGTTTTAATTACGTAATTGAAGTTCTACAAGTACGTCAGACTCTCGTCCGTTAGACGCCGGCGTCACGTCGGTGCGAGTATATAAGCGAGTTCAATTACAAAGTTTCTTGACTTTTTCTTTCGATCTTCATTTATGCGTGCGAACGCTCGCATAAATGTTCATTTGTTATTCCTCTCCTTCTCGTCGTTGATATTCTTTATTCCGTGACGATATCGCTCTGCGCGCGAAGAGAAGGAAAGTGTATCTTTNTTTTTTTTTTTTTTTTTTTTTTNTACAGCCGCGTAACTTCTCGAAGAAACGACGAAGGCGCGGCGTGTGATCGATGCGCCACCGAAGGATTGTTTAAATTGTTGAAGACTATTGAACCCGTTTGACTCCCGGGTATCCGGCGATGTCAAGTTTAAAGTAGCGCGTATCGCACGAAGCGCGATAAGGCGTTACACGCGGAAATGAAATCACGCACGGAATTGTAATTTTTATTTTATTTTAAGAACTAGAGGAGATAGAATAGATTTAGAGAAAACAACGGGAGAAAGTTCGGACTCTCCGCAATCTCGCGCAAAACCATCGAAATATTCGAAATTTGCGAAGCATGAGAAGATCGCGAACGTGACTCGAAGATTTTCTGCATTAAAAGCTGACACATCTCGACGATATCGCGAATTCCTTGTTAATCAATTTTATGTAATGTACACCGCAGCGTATCTGCCAAAGCGATTAATATAATCGTGTTGGCAAATTTTATGCGAAACCAAAAACCATTCCACATAGCAACGAGCTCGAATTAAATTAATCTCGTATGAAATTAAAATCCAAAACCTTATATCAAATGCACTTTCTTCAATCGAAGCGAAGACGAGTTCAACTTACGCTCTCACGAACGACAGGTGTGTTTGTTCGAGATCAAGAGTCAATTGTGATCACGACGGAGATTGATGGTTCATTCTTGATATATGATCGAAGCATTATATTTCTATGTAATCTATTAAAAGGAGGTTTCACACATAATAAAACCTCTCGTAGTCGCGTTGTCCTCGTTTTCAAAGACAAACATTTATTACAAAAAATTGATCAAACGATCCAAAAGTTCTTATGAGCAAAGTATCATTTATATTATTTATTATTATTATTATTATGTCATTTTTTTACATATTCTCGATATTGTTGATATTTTATTAACAAACTGTTTACACGTCACGGAATAGTTGTGTATCGGTCCTCTAAAACTCATCTTTCAGCACACGCGGTTTTTACCGAGCGCGTCGCGAGGAAACCCATAAATTCAGCGTATGGAAAATCTAAGTGCGGATTCTCTTTTGATCGTAAGTTCGCAGACATCTGTTGAGAAGGGGCAGCTGATAATCGGCGGAGACTAGCGTCGTTTGTAACAATGACAATAGACGAGGAGGCCGATCCCGGCGATGCCGGCAGCTTCACGGATGAAAATATCGATGTCGCGTCGATCAGAAACACCATCGATCACACGGAAACTGCGACCGATCGTCCAATCGTCAGCGACGACGTTCAGCAACGTCGTCAGGCCGAGCCCGACAGTTCGGATTCGAGTGAGGGCAACCCCCTTCTTGGCGAGAGTAGCGCGTCAGTGACAATCGATGCGTCGATCGGGAAGCCGTGGAAAATGCACAAACCCGAGAACGCGGTGACGGTGCAGATGATGGACGGGACAAATTCGTTGTGCCGAAAGAGGCCCAATGACAATGAGAACGACGGGCCTTGCGAGTCAACGGACGCGAACGGCGGACCGCCCGACGGCGGTTTCAGAGCCTGGATGATCATGATCGGTAGCTTCACGATCAACGGTCTCATCTTCAGCATCATCAACACGTACTCCCTCATTTATCCGGAACTGCAGAAACGACTGACGGAAGTCGGGGAAACCGAGGTCTCGTCCAAAGCGGGTAAGGATTTCGAATCCTTTTCTCCGATCTCTTGGCACGCATCGAAGTTCGTAAAAGTTTGTAAAAGTCGTTCTTGTTCGAGTTATGAAACGCAACAATTTTGTCAACCGAGTGTAATATTCACGCAATTCGACCACTCAGAGATTCCGTAATTACGTGTTGATTCGAATATTACTTTCGACGCGATTCTTCGATTTATGCGAACATTGTCGTCACACTGTAGTCAGCAGAAACTTCTTTTGTGTTTGTAACACTTTTGTTCCAACTTTTCGAACGCGCATAAATTATTCCAAGGGGAAAATATCGTTCGATGAACCTTATTATCTCTCTCTCTCTCTTTCTTTCTCTCTCTCTGAATTTCTTCAAAGATACATTTTGCTAATTCGATAACGCCTTATCGGTTACTTATTACTAGGAGCAATGCTTTTCATCGTTTATCTTGTTGTATCGTATAGACAAGCAACTTGAATATTAGAAGACGCCCTCGGAGTGGCGAATCCAATAGTTAAATAAAAATTTTGACAAATACAAGTCAAGAATTTTGCAAACTTCCGTTTTTGTTTGCAAAAAATGTTTTAATTCAAACCTCCTTCTGGATTGGTTTGATACGTGGAAAATTACAAAATAGATAAAAAAATCTTTTCGATCTTATTGCGCGACTGTACATTTGAATTTATGTCATTGTTAAACGTCAAAAGTATATAAAAATATAAAATTGTCAATTTCAATAGTATAAATTTCACAAAAAACAATATCGTAATATTCTCAAAAAAAAAAGATGAAATAAAAAGATAGTCAAAACAAAATTATTTGCGACCAGCTGATCAATAATATGTAGCAACTGACACGCGCGCAAGTTTTTTAATTCGTTGACTATAAACCGCGGCTTTTACATATTAAATCGCACTTATAACGCGACTAATTTCTATACGCAAATAAAAAAAAATCTGACTAGACGTTTTACAAGAATATAACGATGCAAAAGCTCTAAGTTGTTTTGCTCAAGTGTCGCACAAATTATCACAACACGATTTTTTTTGCGACATTGAAAAAGATCACAAACTTTGGTCAAGATGCGAGTTTAATATTCAATATTGGAATAACCGAGTAAAACAATGTGACATCGCGCTACACTTGCGCTTGGTTCAAATTGTCTGCCTTTTGTTGTTAACGTCTCGCGAGAGATAAATTTGAACGTGTGTGTTTGTTTATAAATTTAAAAGCGCCGCCACGGCGAGATTAATTGTTTACATGAGCAATGCTCTTTAATACATCTCGTCGATCTAAATTGCTCGACAATTAGACAGTCATTTATAGCAATAGAGGTTAATTTATGCTACTTGCTGCATAGATACATGTGTATTTAGTCAAATTACCACTACTTGCCGATGCTGCTTGATCAACTTAATCGTTCTCATAACAAAAAATAAGCGTGCGTTAAGGAATGTAGCTTTATTTGTTCGTTACGAACGATTGAAAATTTTTGCAACGTTATACGTACGCAAAAAAATGCATTAACAGAAAAATAAACTTCCTCTTACATCAACAACAACAAAAAATCTTTTTGAAACTCGATGTACATAGGGCTGCCAGAATATCTCTTTTAAAGAGAACATGTCCTCTTTTTTTGTCTCGATCTTTTTGTTCACTCTCTTTTTTTATTCTGATCTTTTTTGTTCTCTTTTTTCTTAGTTATTTTTTATTTAATCTTTTTTGTATATTTTCATAATTATTGATTGGACAAAACATACGCGCAAAACATATTATTTATCATAACGTATGCGCAAGTGATCGCAACGCATGCCCATTTTGCATTCTAGTATGACAAGTTTCTTAACCAAAAAAAAGTATCAATTTTAACGATAAATATATCACTTCGCGAGGCAGAGCGACACTTTTCTGCAAGATTCTTTTGTTTCATGCAAAAACATAAGTGTAATTTAATCAAAATTTGAGATGAGAAATGTTAAACTAAATGTTATAATAAATATTATATTCGCATATTTTGATATATTATTCTCTTTTTGTCCTCTTTTTTGGAGGGAAAAGTTCTCTTTATATACACTGCAAATCCAAGTGTGTTAATTTAACACACTTGACGTGTGTTTTTATTGAAGTCACTTTTAATATGTTTCTTAGTGTTTAAAATTAGAACACGCTTAATACGTGTTGATTTAACTCACTAAAGTAACACGTTTTAAATGTATAATTTGTTGCGTGTAATAAACGACATATTATCGTATAAAAGTTTGGAAGCTCTACGTTTTCATAGGAGAACAGAATAATAATATTTATGTTCAAAAAAGCTGCAATATGAAAAACTTAGATGACTATGGTATAATAAAGTTTGTCATAGTGCAGTATTCTTTAAAAATATTAAAACATTATTATTTTGTTCTCCTAAGAAAACGTCGAGCTTCCAAACTTTTATCACCTGGTTCAGTATGTAATATTTTGAAGTTCATGTTATACGTGTCATTGATTTGTCTCTCTTGAGAAACATCAGAAATAAAACCAGTAGATGGTGATGATTCGAGTACGAGGCTTGATGGTTTTTCATACAAAAAAAGTACGTTAACCTCACTTTTGTCTTCAATTTCATCATTTTCTTCAATATCACATAATTTATTATTTCGATCGGCATCAAACTTTTGTAAAATGATTTCTTTGTTGTTGATCATTGATTGTAAATAACACTACATTGTTATTGCTGGCTTCTATTAAAGTTGCACGTACAATTTGAGCGTCAGAGATATATTTTTTAGATGAAAACGTGAATGCGTTTACAACGTTCACCGATTAAACAGTACACTTTCTTCTTCATATTAAATAAAAAATATATTAAATTTTCACAAATCACATTAAACATATATTGCACGTCAGCACACTTCTTTCCGCCGCGCTGTACTTGTCCTAACATATCTCTGTACTCTGGAAGGAGCGAGAAAGAAAGATTGATGCGCGCGCAACTTTCTACGCAGAGACAACGACAATTTTGATGTGTATTTTTTGAAGTGTTTTAATTTTGAAACGTTTATCTGTTCAAACGTGTAAAAGGAGAAATATGTTTTATTTTAACATGTCTAAAACTTATATGTTTTATTTTATTACACATTTTAGATGTTTACGCATTTTAACACACATGCGATCTGCATAAAATTATCATATTACACACTTATGTGTGTTTAAATAACACGGATAAGCGTGTAATCTTAAAATTACACAGAAAAAATGTGTTAAAGTAACACACATGGATTTGCAGTGTACTCTTAACTTCTGGCAACCCTAGATGTACAAGTTGCGCAAAGTAAAACTTGTAAGAAGATAATAGTTTTTTTGCTCTCGTTGAGAACTGATGGGTTTGAAAAAAAAAATAAATAATCCCAAAACTTTCAAAATAACGTCGTGTGTGTCGGGGGCATCGAAAACCGCGCGTTACATTTAAAAGAGCAAAAACACCAGCGTGTTTCGCAAACAAATGTCACAACATGATACTTGACGCTTTTGCGTGATGGTGTGCTTGAGCGAAAGTGCATCGTTTCCACAGCAATAATTGCAAACTCTAATAAAAATACTAATAATTACAAATAAAGCAACATAAAGCGGTTCGCGCCGAAATTGCTTTCAGCTTTGGTGGGTTCGCTGACCATCGGAACCACGTTCTTTCTGTCGCCGATCGCCAGTATGCTGACAGACAAATTCGGCATCCAGATAACCACCTTCGTGGGAGGCGCGATCGCGTCCGCCGGTTTGTTTCTCTCATCGATGTTGACGCACAAGGTGACGAAACCCAATTATTTTATATCCCCCGCACTTTGTCAATTCTTTCTCTATCTCCGCGTCTCTTTGTGATCCGCAGGTGGAACTGCTCTACTTAACGTACGGCGTGATGTACGGGCTCGGCGCGAGTCTCGCGTACACGCCGAGCCTGGTGATACTCGGCCATTACTTCAAGAAGTACCTGGGGCTGGTGAACGGGATCGTCACGGCCGGGAGTTCCGTGTTCACGACGCTTATACCGTCACTGGTGGAATTGTTGCTGCTACGTGTGGGTCTGGAGGGAACGCTCAAGAGCCTGGCCGTGTTCACGGCCATCATCATGGTCTGCGCGATTCTCTTCAAGCCGATGCCACGTATGTGTGAACTAAAATCAAAAAGTTCCCGCGAGGTCTGTCAGTATTTTTTATTTTTTATTTTTTTATTTTTTATTCTTTTTTACTACGTATCGATTGTATTTGTTAATATTTGTTTTGTCTTCTTTATAGAAAAAAGAAAAAAAAACAGTAAAACCGCTCTTTGGTTTCTCGATTGCAAAGTATCGAGCAAAAATCACGTTTCTTCCTCTTTTGTTTTTTTTAAGTAAACGCACCGCAGCAGGACGAGCCGGAACTTAAGGCAAAATCGTTTCGAAGTCGTGTGAAAGAATTCGTGAACGTTTCGATCTGGAACAGGAAACGATACGTTGTCTGGGCTTGTTCCATTCCTCTTGCTCTTTTTGGGTGAGATGATCGCTTGTACAAATCATCATCCGCTTAATCCGAGTGAACTTTTCGCGACTTGTCTAAATGGACAGTCGTGTGATTGCGTGTTGTTTGTTTATAACAAAAACGCACACTATCTCTCAGATTTATCTTCTCACATTTCGTGACTTATAAAAAGTAACATTCATCATTTAAATTTATACTCAAAACAGATAATAGAGTTATCGTTCGCGTGTTCGCGAAGAAGATTTTTCCGATATTTCGCGAGTGTGAGGTTGTCACGCATGATTAATCTTTTTTTTTTTTTTTTAATTTTATCCGTTCACGTAAACTATTTTCCCATCAGTTTTCATTTTTTTTTATGCGTACTCTCAAGACATGGATCATCATCTTTTTGTGTTCATCATTCACGACAGACAGAACGACTGTGTTGTTTATTATTTTTTTAGATACTTTGTACCGTACGTTCACATAGGAAAGTTTGTATCTACAACGTTCAAAGACGCCGATGGCAAGTTGCCGGTAATGTGCATCGGCATCACTTCCGGTATCGGTCGTTTGATTTTCGGTTACATCGCCGATCTGCCGAAGGTCAATCGAATATTGTTGCAGCAGGTGAGAGAAGCGTTGCCGAGAGAAACACATGTGTGTTCTCTCTGTCACTTTATTTTTATTACAAATTTGGACAAAGAGCAAACCATTCGTTTTCCACAGATATCGTTTGTGAGTATCGGCATTCTCACGATGCTCCTGCCGGTCACCAAATCCTTCGTCGTGCTCTTGATCATCTCTCTGGGCATGGGCCTGTTCGACGGATGTTTCATATCGTTGCTCGGACCGATCGCGTTCGACATCTGCGGTCGCGGCGGCGCGACTCAGGCGATCGGCTTCCTTCTGGGAATGTGCTCGATACCGTTGACGGTCGGTCCGCCGATCGCGGGTCTTCTGTACGATCACACCGGTAATCGATCTCGAACAATTACTTTCGCGAAAAAAGTAACGCGAAACAAATTGAAATACAAAACCGTAGGTACAATGTGTTGTCTCGCTAATGATCCGCGTGCGATTGTCATTCAGGTACCTACGACTTGCCCTTTATCTTAGCCGGCATACCCCCGATAGTGGGAGCTTTGCTGATGTTCTTGATAAGATGCGTTAAACAGAATGACGATGGAAATTCAGACAATTCTTCCGAGGTGAATGCCCCAAACAAAACGGATTGCCAGAACGGTTGGTAAACCAAGAAACAAGGTATCAGTACCATCATCAACTTCAATATCATTGCGCAATGCCATATTTTTAGCTACAGCTATTAGATTCTAAAATAACGTAGTAAATGCAATAAAAATAAAAATAAAAAATAACATAATAATTATATGTACGCACATGTGCAATTATTATGTTGTTTAGTGTGTAATTATAGCTAAACGCTGCTTTTGTCGTACGCTTTTGTAAAAAAAGAAAAAAAAAGGATTTTACATTCTTCTAACGAGTAATCGATTCAAATCAATTTTTTTGCAGGAAAAATAAACAACAATTCCGCATCGGTGCACGAGCAAGAATACAAGACAGAGAAGCGTAGAATATGTTCCAAAAATAACGCACGGCTGTCTCGCAGCCGCGTTAGGCAACAGATCGGATTGCGAACTTTTGTAGAACGCGATAGGCACAAGTGCGCCGATTGCGCGCACCAGTATTCCGAGAGTGTACCTTTACTTCAAAGAGACGGAGAAACAACGCAGAGATGTTCGAGCTTCTTTGTTCGTGCAACACAATCGGCGGTATATGTCACGTTTTGAAACTTTTACGTCTCGTCGGACGTATGCGTCTCGAGGCTCGATGGGAGATTTTCTCTAAGGTCGGCGACACGTACAGATGGCATCATTAATTCGAAGAATAGGCGCGGGGATCACATAAAAAATCCAGTTGATCCAAATATCCATTAGTCCCAAAATCGGGTGTCCGGTTGTGGACACCCGATTGCTACTAGTTAGTTAGTACGGCGCCCGTTGGCGCTACGAGCAACCGCCCCGCTTGCCCTCCGATCCCCGCGCCTATTCTTCGAATTAATGACGCCGTCTGTACATATTGACGCGCGCACACGTGGCGTTAATATATACCGTGGTGGTTTATGAAAAAAAAAAAAAAAACAAACAAATTGCTCGTGTGTTTCGAGGTAGAGGTTTCTTAGAGACACCGGAGTTGCGGCGAATATGTCGTGTTTTGTTTTTTTTTTATCGCTCTGAGTTGTTCTTCGTTCTCTTCTTTGTTGTTCTGTATTATAAATAAAGCTTTTTAGACAATGATCCTTCATTTATCCTCTTTTGCAATCCCTTGTGCAACCGACATCTCTTAACACGCAAACAGGATGAAAGATCGAATTATTAGAGTTAAATACTGGCGATTCGCAAGTTTCGTTCTTAGAATTGTAAAAACTATGAAAATGTTTAAATTTTATTAAGATTCTCGACAAGTGCAATTTTCAATACTTTTCTACAATTTTTCGAACAATTTCTTTGGAGACGTAAAGATTTTAGAAATATTAAGGAAATAAGATCTAACATTTTGAGTAGACGTAAGTTTTTTTTCTTTAGTTTTACGTAAAACTATTTTTTATATTTACCGGGCAACATTTCGTAGGCGGAAGTTCTCGCCAGTTCTCGCCTACTTTTTGGGATGATCGAGGCAAACACGCGGTCCGGAAGAAAATGGTAGGATGTTTCGCATGTCCACCGCACGAGGTCTCTCAGATCAGTACGGAGATTTCCTGATCTGACGAAACGCGGAGGAACTCTGTAATCGCACGCACGTGTTTTTCGAGCGAATCTGGTTTACGATTGTTGAGGGCGACGGACAGATCGACAAATGTTTGATTTTATCGCGACGATCGAGACAGATTGAACGGATGAGGCCGAACGTATATTCGTTGATACATCATGTTGTGAAATGCAACAGTTGCACGTTGCTGTCTTTTGCGAGTAAAACTTCGAGCTTTCTGCGACATTGGTCGCTTCGTTACGGTTACACCATGCCGCGTTCACCTTCGCATCTGTATGACATGCAAAGAGCGAGGCAGAAACTTAAAGAGAAGTCGGCAAAATACACCTCCAATGCGAGAATTTCCTTACAGGTTAGTACTGACAACTGTCATATATTGTCAGAAGTAACATGTGATTGTGCAAAAAGAGTTCAATTTGCTGGAATTACGATTAATAAATAAACTTACTCCGTTTGATTAGATTTTGGGCACCGGAGCTCACGGCGCGCCAAGATGCGTTTACTTGACAACGGGTCACACCAGGTACATCTTTAACTGCGGCGAGGGAACACAAAGACTGGCTCACGAGCACAAATACAAGTTAATAAAACTGGAGCACTTATTTGTCACGTCGGCGTCTTGGAACAATTTGGGTGGCATTCCGGGAATGCTTCTGACAATACAAGACGCCGGAGTGCCAAAAGTCACAGTGCACGGTCCCAAAGGAACCGTGGAAATATTTGAGGCGATTAAAAAGTTTGTAATATTGCAAGCTCTGAAGATCGAGGAAGCCAAATGTGACGTTGCTCAGCCGTACACAGATTCGGTAATGTCTGTTTCTTATGTTCCCATTGCAAAGTCCGCTCCGAAAGAGGAGGAAAAGGAATCCTTTAATATAGGAGAAGAAGTTGTTGACACAATCAATTACTACGACTACAAAACCAATAACAAACGAGTACCTGATAAAATAGAAGAGAACCAGAAGAAGATGCAGAAGATGGAACAGAAGCCTGTGGAAAAGAAGAGGATATCCAGCGTGGTGTCCTACATTTGCAAACTGCATCCTCGACCAGGCAAACTGTCCTTGGAGAAGTGTGTGGAGAAAGGAGTGAAACCCGGTCCGCTGTTCGGCCAGCTTAAATCCGGCGAGGACATTACTCTTCCCGATGGTACCGTCGTTCGCAGCAAAGATGTCTGCGAGCCGGCTATACCCGGTCCTACTTTTCTAGGTATTGTTTTGACACATCAGAGTCTTTTAGGTTCACGTTTGTTTCTTTTTTTTTTTTTTTTTTTGTTATAAATTTTTGACGTCTATGTTTTTATTCGTATGCGCAGTCGTGGAATGTCCATCGGAAGATTACCTGGACTCGTTTGTGAGTCATCCCAGCTTTGTTCGACATCAAGCACCAACGGAAAACAAGGACGATTCGCCGTGTTGCGTCATTCACTTCACGCCTCAGAAAATAATGGACAATCCTCGCTACGTAGACTGGATAAATAAATTCGGTCTCAATACGCGTCACATAGTTGTGAACGAGGAGAATCAATGTTTGGGCACCGAGGCGGTTCACAGACATCAGCACAAACTTCACATGCTGCATTCTGAGATATTTCCTTTCCTGAACGAGGAGAGCTTCAATAAGGAAACACGAGTAAGAAAACGGATCGGACTTCTTTTGTTCCGAAATTTATTTCCGTGTCTTGAATACAAGTTTCTCTTCTTTAAGGCGGAGGACTTAGCCATCATCCATCGGCCTAGAACGCATTACACCGTTCATTTGCAACCGGAATTGAAATTCGACGCGACAAACGAGGTGTCGCTTCATCCAAAAGAATACATAAACGAGGTCTTCGAGAACGACGGTTTCTTAGACGCGTTGGCTGAGCTACAGACAAACATCAACGCTCGAACGGAGAATTTCTTGTCCAGAAACAGTTATCCAAAGATCATTATGCTGGGTACCGGGTCCAGCATTCCGAGTAAGGTCAGAAACACGAGCGGCATATTGCTACGAGTGGACGAGAGTCACAGCATGGTGCTAGATTGCGGGGAAGGCACTTACGGTCAAATCGCGAGGATCTTCGGAAGATCCGAGACGGACAACATCATGAGAACGATCAAAGTAATACATTTTTCCTGGTCTTGTAACTTACCTTCGTAGCGTTGAGTGACGTCGGTTCAACGCGCGTTTCTTTTTCAGGGAATATACGTGTCGCATCTGCACGCGGATCATCACATCGGTCTGATAGGTCTGCTGAAGGAAAGAGAGAGGGTCACGCAAGACCCTTTGTACGTGTTCGCGCCGGGACACATCGCCGCTTGGCTACAGATGTATCACAAGCGTTTCGAACCGATTTTGCATCGAATAATGCTGATATCGAACAGCGAGTTCTTCATGGACATACACATGCCCATGGATAAGAAGTACAGAGACATGTACAAGACGTTGAACGTGCAAGCCATCAGGACGGTATACGTCAAGCATTGTCCCTACTCTTACGGTGTTTCCGTGACGCTCAACAATGGAAAGAAAATAGTGTACAGGTAGAGTTCATCTTCACATTTCGCGAATGTTTCGAATTGCAGCGAATCTAATTTATCTACTTCGCACTTTGATTTGTCTCTCGTTCGTATGCGTTAATTATGCGACAATATTGTTTTCAGCGGTGACACCATGCCCTGTGACAATCTTGTAAAACTCGGTCAAGATTGCGATTTGCTGATTCACGAAGCCACGATGGAAGACGATCTGATAGACGAGGCGGAGTTCAAGTTTCACTCAACGGTTTCGCAAGCCATAAAAGCGGGCGAGCAAATGAGATCGAAATTCACGCTGTTGACGCACTTTAGCCAACGTTACGCAGTCATTCCTCACTTGGCGCGGAACGAGAACGAGCCGAGACTGAGCAACGTCGGTATCGCGTACGACAACATGCACATCAACTTCTCGTACTTGCCGCTTCTGCCCTTGATGTATCCGGCGTTGAAGTTGATGTTCAACAAGTATTACGTGGAGATAGAGGAACGAGCCATTAAACGACAACGCGTGGCGACGGATTAGGATAATAAAATTATTGTTTTAGATTTGTTTATGCAATAATTGCATAATAATTGTTGTCTGCAATTTCAACGTGTCGATCGAATAACTTGGTTCCTGACTGAGCGCACACAACTTTGATCACAATCGACGATTGGAATTCGACTACTCGCGAGAGTGCCAGACTGATTGGTGATCTTCACATCCAAGGCCTCTGGTTTATATTTTGTATTGACAATTGTAAAAAAAAAATTCTGCCGCTTTTGCCTTACTAAGAACTGTCTGAAACGATTCTTCGTTTGTTAATTGCAAACAAATAAACGAGATTGTAATAAATGCAGTAGAAATTTTAGCAACAGTTTTGTTATAACTGTTTTACTTTTTAACGTAAAAAATAAACTCAGTACGTAAACACGCAAACATCTCGCGATATTTTCACAGAAAAGTATCACCGAGAAATGTTTGTCGTGCAAATAATTTTTAGCATGACGGATGAATTGTTTTATGTATATCGCGCCCAATCTGTTTCTTCCACATCTTCCATAATTTTTCGAGTTACTTCCTTGGAACAATTTGTAAAACAACGAAGACACCCTGTATATTATATTTTAATACATATAGTAAAGATTAATCTGTCGAGTATCGGAGGATTATGTTTCAAATAGACACCTCACTTAAAAAATCTGACCAATAAAAATGTTATTACATTCTTTAATTTATTACATTCATTGTTCTCTTAATGCGTTTTCTAATAAGTAAAAGTAGTTAAAATGAGATTGCCACTTATTACAAGGAGTACAAATATATGTGTGTGTGTGTGTTTATATGTTTGCGTGTGTAGGTCGTTAGTAGATCAATCGTATCCGACATATGGTTTACGCGATCGAGTAAAATAACAATGTATGTGTGTGTGCGCGCGCGCGCGCGCGATGATTTTCGGGTTTAGCATATGTATAAATACGTGTTTTCGCGGCGTCTCGAAGTGTGTGTTTTAAAAATTAAGTGACGCGCGCGAGGCGTGCACGGGATAGATATGCCACGTTATTATTACAGCGATGAAATAATGACGAGAGACAAACGTATTGTATACTTACATGAAAACCGACATAAGTATACGTGTCTCGAAATGATCTCGCACTTAAAATCGTATATATATTAGGAAATCCACAAATCCACATGAAAAAGAAACACAACGTTCAATCTCCCCGTTTCGACTCGCTCTGAGAATACGATATATTAAAATCTATCTTCTACTATGTCTCTAAAAACCACACGCGTGTGTGTGACGACAATCGACCCCTCGTCGAAGTGTCGTCGCTCTCAAACAAAGAAAGAGAGAGAGAAAAAACCAAACAAAAGCGAACAGAAACGCGAATTCATTTGTGCTGCTGCTGCTGTGTTGCAAATCTTTCCATCACCCTTAAAGCCTTAGTTCGGCATAGTTGACTTATAAATATAAATTGCGGAAGGCTGATAATACATGTTGGTTGAAGCGTACGCGAGGAATTGCAAAACTCGATGTGCGTTTTTTTTTCTTTTCCTAACTTGTGACCGCAACGTAACGAATGTGTGTGTGTGTGTATGTGTATGTGTATGTGTTGTTGATTGATTGATTTTGGCAGTAAATTGCAGGAGGCTGCTGACCCGGTCGGAGCAGCGACATCGGAACGAAACTATCGGAATTTGACTCTGCGTCTTTTTTTCAAGTATTGTATATTTCTTTAAATAATATGACTAATATAAAATACGCCCCTAACGGTAGCAAATAGTCGCGCGTTGCCACGCTGCGAGCAACTGGACTACTTCGCGGAGTGACCTTTTAATGAACGCGTTTATCAAACTGTCGCGCGCACACACGCACACGCACACGCACACGCACATATACACACATACGTAAGACGAATTTTGTAAAATAAATAAATCACACACTTTCTCATAATAGAACGAACTTTCGTCGATTTTACGAGAGAGAAAGAGAGAGGATCATCATAAAAATTATCGCGCTCGCAGCGTGGCAAGTCGCGCGTTTACAATATATGTATATATATAGATATAAAAGTGTGTTACGTATAAAAAACAGACCGTACAGACAGTTACAGTAGTCCAAATGGCCGGTCTCGGACGTTTCTCGGACCCTTGCACAAATTACCTGGATTGCAAATCGAACAAATCAGTCAGTCTTGAATGTATTGCGGATTCAAAGCGTTTTTTTTTTTTTTTTTGTTTTCTTTTTCCATCAAGATCTCTAAAGAGAAGGGGACAAAAAATAGAAAAGGAGTATAGTCGCGCGCGCGAGCGCGTCGACACCGTTATAGGATTTTTTTTTTTTATTACGACGCGCGGTACGCTCGATTAAGTACGCGACAGGAATCGGCGCAGACTGCGAGTTCTCTGCCATTTGTGTGTTTTAGGTCGGGGGATTACGGTGCTGCGGTGTTTACGACCAAAGCTTGAAGAGACAGTGGAATTATGCGCATCTCTCGTTTTCTTCGTTGCATTATTCGCGCGTGTTGCATCATTTTTTTTTTTTTTTTTTATCTCTCGCATTAAAACTCCCACTTTGTGGCGGACTCGTAGTCCGTCTCGCCTAAGCGCAACACGCCGTTCTTGCCCGCGGTGAGATACCGGCCGTCCACGCATTTGATGCAGATCCGCGACGGCTCGCGCAGCTCCAGATAAAACCCGTCGGACGGCATGTCCGAGTCCACGGTGACACCTTCGCTGTCCGCGTGCCAGTACTTCCCATTTTGACCTGCGCACATACATACATCGTCGACGAATGAGACAAGATAAATATAATAATTAAAAAAAAGAAAAAAGAACGATTAAGCAAAAAAGGGGCAAATTTTACCCTTGAATCTGACGACACCGCGTTCGCACCGTTCGACGCGTATCGTCTCGTAGATGGCCTTGTTGCACTCGAGCTTGGGGCTGGCCCCGCTCTTCGGCCCGACAAAGCCCTGTTCGCAACGCAGCACCAGCACCGGTCGGTTCATCAGGTAGAAGTAATATTTGGCGGCGTCCGAGTCGTTGCTGTTGAGCGAGTCGGCGTTCGCGTAGAGATGGCCGGATCGTTTGGTGGCCAGGAACTTGCCGTTGTTGGCGCGTATCGCGACGGTGCCGTCGTTCGATTGCCACACCAGATCAAAGAGCGCGTTAGACGAGCGCTTGTGATCGGACGCCTGAATGCCACCGCCAGCTTCCAAGCTCCAGTAGCGGTCCTGCATTGTCCGCACGTACCATCGTTTCGTCACCCGATCGAACTCTAACTGGAATGTCTCATGACCGGAGATCTCGTCCTGATTGGCCGTCACGTCGACGCCTGACGACGATCAAGCATCAATTTCTCTCGGTTGTCAATCAATTACTTACGTGATTTTTTTTTTGCGACAAAACGTTTAATTAACGAGCAAAATTGATTGAAAACTTGTTTACCTTGTTTCACCGAAACGTATCGCTGATTCAACGCGGCGACGAACGAGGCCTGTGGCAGAGATTCCTCCAATGAGAAGAGCTCGTCGCGCGTAACGGTCGTGGATCTCGACTTCAGAACAGCTTTGCTTCCAATCGGTGCCAAGTACGCGCCGTTTATGTCGCTGTGAGAGACAATCCGTTAGACACATTTAAAAACGAGATTTCCAACTCGATATGACGATTGTTTTCTTTTCACAAATTGTCACATCGATCGAAGTTTAATTTGCCGTCAATTATACCGTAGAGCAAGAAGACCAGCGTGGAATTCCGCGGCGTACAGACAGTCCCGCGTGCAGCTGTCCAGTAGTTTGCCGTCGCGCGCGAGATACTTATTATTACAGGTATGCAGAGCGTAATAACCACCCTCGGACTTGCCGTGCTCCCCGTGCTCGTCGTCACCCATGGGGCGGAATTCCAGAGTGAACAAGGTGTCCTCACCCCAAGGCACCGGCGCGTCAACGTGAATCTCGTCTTGCGTCGCGCTCAGATGTGCGAAACGTTTCCTCCCGGCCGATCTGAGATTCACCTGACGACGCGAATATATATTCAATTAGCGTTACTTTGATATCATGCTCATTAAAATTATCGTTCGAGTTTATAGATTAGAGAAATACACTGGATTTTTTTTTTTTTACATTTCATCGGTCGTAAAATTGCTCTAATCCAAGAGATCGCTTTGAAACCGATTAAAAGAGTATTAAAAAGACATTTAAAACAGTTTAATGTCTTTTAAAACGATGATACGCAGATACGTGGCGTAATAACGAGAAAGAATCGAGAGATAGCGCAAACCGGAATTTTGAAAAGTGTCATTTGATCGGAGATAAAACACAGTTATTAGCCGTAGTCGTGTAGAAACGGGATTGCGCAAACGGGGGTTCTAGCTGAGCAAAACGCGCGCTCCTCGTTCGCGCAAACTTCAAAACGCAACAGGTATTTAAAAGACGTTACCTGCGGTCTGGCGGCGAGATGCACCAGCCAGTATTCCGCCTCGCCTGGGGCTTTAGCAGTGCACTTCAATTCATCTTGGCTCGAGCCTAAGAAGTAGCCTCTCTGGATGTTCTTCAGCGCCCATCGTCCGCTGCCTGCAATTTGTTTCGATTGCCGCTCGTTGAAAAAGAATGCATTTACGACCGCTCGTTACATTACTTAGCGATTTAGCGGAGAACGTAAATCGACGGACATATAACGTTTGAAAACGCGATAAAACACGCGCGCATTTTGTAAAGTCACTTTGTGATTTAAGTTTCAAAAATTTACGGTATATTACCAAAAAACTCCTCGCGCGTCAAATATTTGTGTGTGTGTGTGTGTAATAACGTGTCCCAAACTCTAAAGCGATGATGTGTTTGTCTTCGAATCGCGCGAGAAGAAAACTCAACTTCCGGAAATAAACGGAAGTGCGAAATAATTGTCGGATTGTCAGAAAATACCGTACCGTCGGACGAGAGTTGTATCTGAAAAGCGCATCCCGGATCCGACGAATCTTCGCTCTCGCACGTCACGTTACCAAACTGGTCGACCGCCAGATATCGATCTAAGTGCGAGCGAAGGAAAACCTGATGCTCGCTACCCTCCAGCGTCCACAACTGTTTCTTCTTCAGGCTCGAGCCGTTGGCGTTGATCTTGAAACCGAACGTCTCCGCCGTGAGATACTTGTACTTACCGTTGATTAATCCGACCTGAAAGAGAACCAATAGATGGTTTTTTTTTTTTTTAACATTGACCGGATCGAGAGAAGTTTTTTCTGTTTCACTTTCAAATTTTTCTTATCCTCGCGCGATTTCGATCCACGTACCGTCCATCCTGATTTGTCGACTCCGTTCTCGGATCCCACATTCTCCGAACCGTTGCTCTGCATCGTAACGACGAAACCGAGCGAGTCGTCCGCTTCTCGAGTTCACCGAAACTGTGTTCGAAATGGCTTCTCTGAGGAAACTGCAACAACAATTACACTATTTATACGCCCGTTTAATCGCACAGTCGTGAATTACAAAATACCCCGCAATTAAGTACCCCTCTACACGAGCGAGAAGTAGAGAGAATTTGTGTCAAGGAAAACAAAAATTAATTACAAACGACAAATGTTTATAACGCACGTGCGATACGTCACACGTTCGATTAGACAAACAGAGAGAGAGAGAGACAGAGAGACAGAGAGCGCACACACGGCGCTTCGCGTGCCGCCAATTGAGAAGATCCGCGCCACTATGTGTATTGATCCTCGGAGTTTCATCCCAACGCTATCGCCGAGCAGACGCCCGAGCTAACTCCGACTGAAAACCGCTGCTATTATTCGTCGGATAAAGCAACGGTTTCTCGCAGTTATTCGCGTTTGTTTCTCCCTTTCTCTCTCTCTCTCTCTATCTATCTATCTATCTATCTATCTCTGTTCTTGCGATTGAAGGATGTTTCTCGAAAAGTTTAAATTTCTCTTTTATTTTCCAGAACAAAAGTTTCCGAACGAAGAACATTTTTGTTCTCTCTCTAATGAGTAAAAGAAAGTCCCTTTTGACACAGGAACGAAGGAACGAGAACTCGTAGAGTTCGAAAAAGTTTCGACCGTAGTTTGTTCCGCGCGAATGTACAGAGAGAATTACAAGCCGAGATAAGATATGTTTGTCGTGTCTCTGCAATTGCACACGCAGCCACTTCCGATAGAACGTGCGATTATAACATAGCCGCTTCTTCTTCAACGGGTTCGCACCGACCAGCCAGAACGGAATGTGCGAGACGTGCGAGTTTTTTCTCCGCACGTCGTAAATTCGCGACGCGATAACGTCCGATTTTATTGATCAATGCCGTTTCCGATTATAATAATTTCTTTCGCGCGCGCGCGTCGAGAGAATTTCTCTCGTCGCTCATTTGCCCAAGAGAATCCACGCGTCATGCCCATTAAATCAACATTCGCCACTGACTGTGCGTATCTTACCGTTAATTTAACCGACCGAGCGAGAGAGAGACAGAGAGAGAGAGAGAGAGAGAGAGAGAACAGCTCGAGGGGCTATTAACCTTTGCCTAATTTTTTTTCACATTTCTCAAGCGAGAGAAAATTGGTTCGGAGTTGAGAAGCTCTTGTGTGTTCTTTTTGTTTTTTTTTTCGAAACGTTTTAACCGAGTTCTTACGTCCTCAGACGGCACAGAAAAAAAGTCAAGGGACACTTCAAACATGTTTAAAAGACAATGAGACGTTTTTAAGTCGTTTTTTTTAGCCGTACGCTATCTCGTACAGAGATGTCTTCACGAGGTCAGTGTTACTTCGCCGCGTCACACGCGTTTTGTCGATTACCTCTTCCGATTTTCGGAGAATCGATCAAAGACGAATTTGCGCGCGGAACACCCAGTATTACGGCTTACGGTGTTTGCCGCAAGATGAGCGTAAACGATCCGCTCTCGACGCAACGTGTGTCATTGAACCGCGGCCGCCGCTGCGTCACAGCAGGACTGCGACGAGAACAGGACTCTCGCGGTGTTTCACGGTGCTTTAATAATACGTGCATCGACGGGACGCGCGCGCGAAGAGAGATGAGATGTAAATAAATTGAGACGTCGAGCGCGGTCGCGGTCTTATTCAGCGGCGCGCGCTTAAGTTAAACCTAACATCGTTTCCGCCGCGTAAAGACCTTAGCGCATTTATCTTTCACGTTGGGCCCGTGATTGATTTGCTTACGATCTCTTACAATTGAAATTTTGTCACGTCTCTATAACGTCTCGTTAAAATGTCACGCTCAGGTGCAACGCGCGAGAGCCTCGTCAAAGGAACACTCGCCTGTTTACAGAGACCTGACGGACAGTTAGTTCTAAGTTTCTCAAAGTCGAACGTTCTGCGATATTTGCTTGTAAAGATTATTTTTATCTCCGCATTGATCTTGAAAAAAATACATAACTTTGATAAACAAATAAATTCTAGAAAACAAGTAAAACTTTCGCGCAGAACAATGTAATGAAGTGTTGTGTTATTACCGCAAACTGCTCTCCAGTGGTTTCGAGAGCAGAAACTTAGAAAGTTACCTAATTGCGGCGATAAATAAAAATATTTAGAAAGAATATAAAAATATTATAACAGTATTTAATATAATTGATAGTTTTAAATTAATCCTGATTTGACACCGATTAAAAACCTAATGGCGCGCGCGGGTTTTTGAGGTGTTCGAACTTTGTCGAGGTTTGCGCGATGTGTCGCACAAAAATCGGCAACGAGAAAATTTCGCTGGTTAACAGCGTAAATAGTAACCGTCAGACGGTGGATCAACAGACGCGGGCGGATGAGTTCGCTCTTAAATTTTCCCGTCACGAATCCGAACGGAAATACAATCCACACGACAACAGCGAACAAGGACAAAGCGAACGTGGAGGAGATGTGACATGTTCGACAACGTCAATTCGATCGTAGAAATCGAAAGCTGTTCTCAGCGATCGAATTGTCAAGCAAAAATCATTTATTGTGTACAAAACCTTGTAATTCCGTGATGATTTTTACAAATAATCCTATATAAAAAAAGTCATTTGGACCGAGAAGTGCGCGTTTTGGAGCCGAATGTATCGCATCTATTGTTGCCTCTTTCCCGCGTTGCCGATTGGTTGATTGGTTGATCGAGTCGAATCGAATCGGTAAGATCGAGAGAGTAAATAATGAAAAACGATTTTGAGACAGTTGGTCGTATATGTAGAGAAAATTAAAAACGTAACTAAAATCACGTGACAGGAAAGAGTAGAAAAACAACACGTGAAAATAACGTGACTGTAATTTATATTATATATAACATTAAATAATANATATTATACATATAATTTATTATATATTTATAATATTATACTTTATATTGTATTATATGTATTATATACATACTACAGTAATGTCATTGACCTCGGCCGCGCGGCCTTGGCGGGGTCACTGACCTCGGCCGCGCAGCCTTGGCGGGGTCACTGACCTCGGTCGCGCGACCGCGGCGGTGTTACTGACTTCGGTCACGTGATTACGGTATATATATATATATATATATACATATATGCGTATGTGTGTGTATTATATATAGATATAGAATGTTACATATAATATATATAATATTCTCTTTTTTACCCTTTTCCCTGTCACGTGTTGTTTTTCCACTTCTCTCTCTCACTATTTTTTGAGTTTAATTTTCATGCATTATTTCTGACATTTCTCATATGTGTATTATATGGTTTATAAGACGTATATACTATCTGTCATCGCGGTGACAGGTTGTGTTCACTGACAACACGTTAAATAAAAATAACAATAGCGCGCGCCTGTGTTGTGCTAGTTTTATACAAAGAAGATGTCTTTCGCGCGGACGGTGTGAAATTTCGAATTTTTACGATAAATAAATAAAAACACCGGCGATCGTAAGAAAAGATCTGTAAATGCGCGACGATCATCGGATTTAAACGGTGGCGCAATATTTGCCATACTTGAAGTTAGCGAGCTGCGGCATTTTTATGCGAAAACGCGATGAGCAGCAAAGCACACGCGAGTTGCGTGCGCGCTCTGCAAGTAGGTATCGGTCCAAGAAAAGCCGCAGAGGCGGGTCTTTGGCCGAACTTGGTCACCGCCGAAGGCAACCGATATCGTCTCGTTCCTCGCTCGATTCGCTGTTGCATATCGGACTCTCTCTTTCGCTTTCAATCAAGCTTAGAAACTTGGTTGTCTTCAACAACAACGCACACACTTCGTAACATCGTTCCACTTCTTTTATATAAAACTCGAAAGTCTTATTTTGTAGAGATTATTTATGTATTTTTGAAAGATTAACATGAATAAACAATTAAAACATTTACATAGAGAAAAGATTGAATAATATTCTACTAATTGTATAATATTATATAATATAATAATATAATAATATTATATAATATTCTATATAGTTCGCTAATAGAAAATAATATAATTTATGTATTTTTACTTGAACGCGTTCAACTAAAACAGTATTTCTCTGCGATCGTGCAGACGGACGAGAGTTAACGTCGGTCAGTATGAAGCAAGTATGTAATTTTTTCCGCGTTCAGGATCGCTTTAATTGCCTCGGCGCGCAGCCTCGCTTCCGAATTACGGAACGGCGTGGCTCGCGCTCTCGTTCCAAGATATTGACACTAATTGGAGAAAATCCGCGCGGTGTTTACGCTCAAATATGAGCCCTAAAGTGATTTAGTTTACGCTTCTGATTGCAACGCGAAAGTCACGCGAGGCTCGTTTCCTGCTAAGCTTGACCGGCCGGAATCCGTTACGCGCGTCTGAAATACAAAGGAGAAAAGACCGGCGTGAGATTAAGGTGTATGATTAAAAGAAAAAAAAAGAAAAAAAGAAAAAGCAAAACCAGCGGCGCGCGACTCAAGCGGAATTCGCGTATCACACGGTCTGGATAGATGAAGAACCGCGAGAAATAAACGAGGAGAACATCCGGTAAAACGTCGTGGTAAAACGAAATTCCGATTCATTATGTAAAGTCGCGTCGTTCGCAAAGAAAAACCCGACACGATAGTTTCTTGCATTGCCGAGGTCATATTTGCAGTCGCGGGTACTACTCGCTCGGCGCGAGTCAAAGAAAAACAATTCACACGTTGAAATTAAGAAACAAAAACGTTAAAAATCAAAAGAATTTCACGGTGAAATTAACCTAACGAACGCACAAAAAAGTCGCGCGGATGCGGTCAGAGCGAATTTCGTTTATTTTATTTTTTTATTTTGCTCCCAAGAGCGCGCAGCTGCGTCGCGAAAAATCGGAGCAAGAAACTTTAACGCGGCGCGCACGCGAGCGCTAAATCGGAGTGTGCTCGCGTTTCTTTTTTTTTTCTTTCGTGCGCTCCGCACGCTTACGCCCCGCAGAGAGGCTTTTTGTCGCCGGGTGATATTTCGCGGACACATCTCGCTCGGTTGCGATGCGACGCGGTTCAAGTAGCGCTGAGTAAGTACGCGATAATACGTCTCTCTGCTTATCGCGAACGATCGAATTGACTGACGACGTCTCTTCCGAGATGCAATTCGGATGATCGAGCAGTTCCGTGCAATTTTAACCAACTTCAACCAACCACTTCAATTTATCGCGCAGACGATATGTCGCGTTATTGCGCGTTTTTTTTCCCTCCCCCAATCTCGCAATTCCCGCGATTTGTCGTCATTGCGCGAATCGATCTGTCTTTGTACGGAGAGAAAAATAATTGATTAAAAATAAAAAAGCATCTGCAAAGACCTTTTTAAATTTCACAGAGGAGTTGAAATTGACAATTCACGTAATGCAAAACGAACTTCCAATGTGAATTTTCGTTTGAAAAATATTTCACGCACATCGAGTACGTGTGGTTCTCATCAGAACAAATTGTATTTTTGCCAGTTCGATACGAGTGTAAATTTGTAACTTTGTTTGCAATTAAAAATATAAATATGTTAAAAACACGGTTAAATTACGGTTGTGGCACCGCCATCGTCACGGTGACACCGACGCGGCTCGCTGTCGTCGGACAATACGCGTGTTCTTTTGTGCCCGAGCGGAAGAAAGACACAAAGGTGCAAAGTACGAGTTATATTACACACACATACACACATACGCACACACACGCTTGGATGTACATGCAATATATATATATACATATTTAGATACATGTGTACTTCTTCCTTTGATTGCATTCAAATGCCGTTATTGTTGCGCGACTGCAATCGCGGAACGCATTAATCTCCCGGCGATAATACCGTTTCAGAATGTGATGCTCCAGCTTTTCGACTCGGTCGCCCGCGCTCGACACAAGACTCAAAGAGAACTTGGCGAGGGGGCTGGTAACCCTCTCATCACAAATATACACTTTTACGAATCTCTCTCGAAAAAAATCATGTAGCTCTGTCGCGCGTTTTTTTACATTTTCGTACATTTTTTACGGCATTTTTACGTCAGGATTCGAAGATGTGAACAGTGTCGAATAATTTCGGCAGTGTTTTTCTCGCAAAACGTTTTTTCTATTTTTTCAACATCGCGCGAGACACAGTGCTCGCCCTTCAAATTAAGCCCTTGTTTGTCATCGCGCTGTTTCTTCGACTACCGAATATAGTGAGAATCTAAAGGAAAGAAACCAACTTCGGTTCTTTTCCACAGGCGTGTTTTACACACACACACACACACAGATAAGATAAGACTCGTTTAAAAGGGCAAAGATTGTATATTTTGCTTTGATCGGTGTAAAACCGACTTCAACCGAACGCCGGGACGTGTTTTTCAAGTATAATTCAAAGCAAGTAAATTGCGTAAGGGACGTCAAACAAATCAAACAAAAGACGAGAAGAAAGGATCAATGAAGGTGAACGTTTTCTCTGAGTTCTCATTGATTCTTTTTTCTTTTTCTCCCGTCAAAGTATTTTACATTCAGCGCGTCGTAATTAGAAGCGACAATCGTCGTCTCGCAGCGTCTTCGCGCGCGAGAGAAAAATAACGAGATAATAAAGAGAAAGAGGGAGAGAGAGAAAGATTGCGCGCGATTTAAAAAAAAAAAAAAACCCGAAGAAACTGGTTTTCTCCGCCGCTTCCTGGTTGCATGTCATCTCCCTTACACACCACGAAATGGTATCGTGGTGTGTCACATGCGCGGCCCTTTCGTTCGTTTCGAGCCAGCCCCACCCAGCCCAGCCAGGCGGAGAGACGAAACGAAGAGAACCTTGAAGAGAGGCCCACACGCCGATCGCGCCGGGCGACCGGGTGACTCACCACCCGCTCGGGCTTCCGTGCGAAATAAAAAAACAAAAAAAATAAAAAAACAAAAAAAAACAGCACGCACTCCCTCGCAACGACAACCCCCGCCGCCGATGGACGACGCATCCCTCCGGCGCGGGAGAGACGATCGGTAAAAATAGTCGGTCTCTCGCCGGCCGGCCGGCGCGTCCGACAACAAAATTTTCACGTTGTTCTGTGCGCGTGTCTCTTTCTCTCTCTCTCTCTCTCTCTCTCTGTCTCTCTCCCTCTTTGAAAGGGTCTGTCTTCCGGCCGGTCTCCATGGGAACAGTTCGTCCATGGTGTGACCCCCTTTAAGGTTACGGGCTGGAAACAGTTCGCGGAAGTCAACATTCGACGAAAATCGAATTAGAATAATCGGATTTTCGCCCGCGAGACGCACGCGTCAGATAAACGCGATGAGCCGACGGCTTGCGATTTTCTTTCTCCAGAAAACTTGTACGTAATATATTCAAGAGAGCCTCAACAATTTTTGTTTTATGAAATCTCTCATCAAGCGACCGAGATCGCAGAAATGCGTCCTGAAGCGCGAACACACGAGATGACAAAATCGTGTTTCCTGTCGACTCGCTACTCGAATTTTTCGCGTGACAGCGGAAGGACTGCCTCTCGTGGCTGCTTCTCACGGCGGAAACAACCGAGACCTTAATTTTCTCCGGTTGAAATTTTAAACGCGGATCTCTCTCGCGACGTAACGTGCGTTAGAGCCAGGAAGCAACGCGCTCGTTTCGACTCGGCTCGCTGAGCAGCTGAGTATCACTCGAATTTACGTCGCGCGGAGACCGACGCTCCTCTGCGTGTGTCCTCGTCGCACCCCTCGCGCGCGTCCTTTGTCGCCGAGAGTGTTGAACCGTCACCTTACCACGCACTCTCTTTCTCTCGAGCACTCGAGAGTGACTCGCTCCTCAAAGACCTTTAAAAGGGTTGCAGCTTTTTAGAACGTGTTCGAATGACATGTCGCGATCGAGCCAGGATTTTACGGTTCGGGTGTGTTCCGGAGCGCGCGCGCGCGCGCACGTACGTACGTGTGTGTGTGTGTGTGTACGCAGGATCGCGAAACAGGACACCGGCGGTGCTCGGCCGCGTTCCGCAGATAAGCACGGGCAGGAAACTGCGGCCGGCTCTCCTTACCTCTCCTTCTCACCCGTCGCTTCTTGCTCGCTCTTCCTCCTCGAAGTCCTCCTGGTTGCTGGCTTCCCTCTCGATCGTTGGCTCCTGCGCTCGCTCGTCGAGCGTAACGATGGCACACACGCGGCTGCCGCGTTTCGCGTCCCGACTCGAAGGGAAAGAGACTCGGCGTTTCGGTCGGGGAAGAAAACGAAGGAGAAAGAGAGAGATAGAACAGTACGCCCGAGAAACGTCGAACGAGGACGCGCGCGCGCAAGATTGCAAAGAAGAAGAAGACACCCAAAATACACGCAGCTCGACGCTCGTCGCGCTACTGAGTGAGGCCCTCGCGCAGGCACCGGCCGCTCCTAGGCAGGCCCCGTCGCGACGACGCGGCATCTCGCGCGAGGGTGGGGAGTCCTAGTGGGGGATTCTCGTCTAGCAATGGCTACGATACCCTCGCGTGCAACACCGTTTGTTCGAAATTTGTTTTTTTTTGTTGTTTTCTGTATTCGCGAGGAAGGGTACGGTCAAAGTTCGCTTTGCCGATTGAGAAAAATCGCGTACTCTCGAGATCCGCGGTTGCGACTTGTGTTTTCTCGCGTCACAATGAAATTTGCGGCGAGATTTCTTTAAACACGCGTGTTTATTTTCGATATTGTACAGACGGCGTCATTAATTCGAAGAATAGGCGCGGGGATCACATAAAAAGTCCAGTTGATCCAAATATCCATTAGTCCCAAAATCGGGTGTCCGGTTGTGGACACCCGATTGCTACTAGTTAGTTAGTACGGCGCCCGTTGGCGCTACGAGCAACCGCCCCGCTTGCCCTCCGATCCCCGCGCCTATTCTTCGAATTAATGACGCCGTCTGTACGATATATTTCGCATTAACTGCTGTATTTAATTTTGTTGTTTTATAAGACACGTTTACAACTTGGTGAATTTTTGCGGTTGATAAACGTTAAAAACACGCGTTTGAGGATTAAAAAAACCCAAACCGTTTGGAAAGGTCGAATTTTCAAATCTTCCCTTTAAATCTTTCTCAGAACAAATGCACGGCGCGCTTGTTCGGTTCGAAACTGGTTTACATCTATCACTCGCAGCAGTTCGGAGCGAGAGAGACTCGCGCAGGCAGAGAGAGAGAGTGAAGGAGAGAGGAAGAGAGGGTGGCACGCGAGGGGTAGACGTGCATCGAACTATCAGCGTTTAGGTTTCCGTAGGGGCGGTGAACCCCAAGCGAGGTTTTTCTCTCTCTCGCGTTGGCGACCGACCGACCGGCCGGCCGGCCGTCGTCGCGCGATCGCAAAATGCGCCGTTCGCGCTATTTTCGCGCGCGCGGAATCGATATGAGACGAAGAAGAAGTCTGCGGCGAACGAGCGAGCAAATACACACCCTCAAAGAAAGAAGAGACACGTTTGTTCGAACGCGACGAGTCATCGTCGTTGTTTCGTCTCTTTCGGCGCGCGTTCTTTTGATGTTTACAGAAAATACTTTGCGCGCGTAACCGACAAACGGTTTTTTTTTTTTATAGATACATCTCTCGTCGTCACACCGCGTGATAATAAAATCGTTTCATCGCGGAGATAGCGGAAACGTCAGGAAATCTCTCGCCAAATCGCCGGATACTTAACCCATTTCGCTATCTCTTCGCTTGCAAATGCGATTTCTCGCCAGGTGCGCGATCCGACGCGATGTTGAATCGCAATCTGGCCGAATCGAAACTGTATTATCTACGTATGTGCACAATAAAAACGAGTAAAATTGAAGAGAGAGAGATAACGAAGTTTTCGTCGGACTACTGTCAGATTGACAAGAGAGAGACTTTAAATCCGACAAGTTTCGAACCGACTGACGCACACACATGTTCGCTTTCCAATTAAAGCGCGAGAGACAATGATATTGCGTATCACGTGACGATAGATAATGTGACGAGGAAACCGTCTCTCTTCTAACGGGTTCTCTCCTCTCGCTCGGATTTCTTGCGATGTCAATTTAATTTGCGCGTTGATTGAAAAAAAAAACGCGAGATTGTACATTTTATACAATTTTCCACTCATTTTCTCCACTTCGCGCAGATTTTTATCAAACTCGCATCCGAGAAAGTTTTTCTTAATTCCAGTAGTACTTCAAGTATTGGTGAATAAAATTAACATGCGATATTAATATCAAATAGCGTTTTTCATCGGATTTTTCGAAAATTAACAACAGCGAGAAAACAACACTCGCCGAGTTTTCGCTCAAATTCGATCGACCATTCCTGGCAGAAATTTAATTTTATTTATTTACTGGTCGAAAGTTTTAATTCAAGAGTAACAAAAGCAGCGTTCACCAACTCGAAACGAGTATTACTTTTGGCCGCGGTGTAATAAATTTCTGCGAGAGGAAAGCACGTCATCCGCGGCGATCGCGGAGAAGCCGGAAAGTCCCGTTACGGTTTCGCGTCTAGCGCGGCTCGGTTTGGGCCGAGCGACCAATTAAAAAAGTTAATCCCTAATTAGTCAGATAGCCGCGACTTAATTTGATGCGAGGAGAGGCATTCTGTTCGGCTTTTTCGAGCGTATCTAACGAGAAACGCTTTCCAGAAACCCGATCTTTTTCAGCAAGGACTTCTTCCTTAATCTCTACTGGTTTAAGAATTATGAATTTTTGAAAATTTCCGAAATTTTTTTATATGCTCAATCGATGTAACTTTTGATGAAACGCACGCATGCAAAAGGACAGCCCCCTATCTTGAATTTTAAGAATTATGGTTTATAACAAAAACTTAGAAAAATTTTCGAAAAAGGTAACAAAAACTTGGGAATTCGAGGAAAAGCTTCAGACAAAAGTTGTAGACCTCGACGAGACAAGACGAAAAGGTCCTATACTCCGACCCTCTATCTCTAATAGTTTAGGACTTAGAAAATTTTAAAAATTTTTGAAGGTTAGTACCTAACCCATCTTTTAAAATAATAAGCCTTGTAGGCTAGGTCCTAACCGGGCTAGGCCCTAACCATCTTTTAAAATGATAAGCCCTTGCAGTTTAGGCCTAGCCGGTTAGACCTAACCCACCCTAGCCCATATGGTTAGGTTAGGTCCTCGCTTTATTATTATTTTGCGCGTCGCGTTTATTACGTCGCGCGTTTTTGCAATCCTCGCGTCGTTTGAAAGCAAGCGGCGTTTCCAACAATACATTTGCATTTTCATCGCCAGGTATCGGTAATCGCGTCGCTTCTCCGAAATTGTGTCTCTATAATTGTTTACAAAGCGCGCAATAACCAAATGCAACGTAATCCAAGAACATTGTGTTCCTTTTCGAAATTGATGACCACGTACGTCTCGCGAAATTGATTTCGACACGTTTCGACGCGCGAAACATACGTTGAAACAAATTTAACAGACGCTTACTCAGAAATCTTACTTGGCATTTCGGTATCGATACAAGTGAGCGACTGGTGTCTGATTATCAACGCGCCATATATCAAGCTGGCAAAATAAATGAGATGAATAACAACCGGCTCCTTTCCCTGAATTGTATTTGCACATGTTTAATCGGGTTGTAATTTTTCGCTGCGCAAAGAGATCTCGTTGTGTATTTAATGACGACACGAGAAAATTGCGTTCGCATTTCAGATTGTATCGAAGCGATTACAAGAACTGGGCATTTGCCGAGCGACTCTGCAAGAGTCTCGATGGACTTCGCGATAGAAAAACGGACCGAGCAATTTTATATAAAAACTGATTTGTTCATTCTAGCGAGTAATTTCCATTGTATTCTATTTTATCTTTCGCTTGTTGTGCCTGGCGGAATAAATTGTTTCTGATGAAAAATTATCCATTTTTCCCTATCGCGAAGTTCATCGCGAAACTTTTGCTCTCGCCCGATATGAATGTGACAATACTGATCGCCGGGAAAGTTTTTTGCGCTAATTATCGCGATAATAAATTACGCAACGATCTTCAATCACGCGACTGTGTGACACGACTCCAATCAAGCACGAGTGCCACACCTCTGCGACATTTCTTTTGCATGCAAAATCCCGAAAGATGCACAATATCGTAAAGATATTCTACAAGAATAACAATATTCAGACGTAAAACACAAAAAGACAGAGGGAGAGAGAGAGAGAGAGAGAGAGAGAGAGAGAGACGATCGTTTACTAAATCTCTCAACGTTCAAAGAAGTAAATAAAAAAATATAACACTCAAGCTAATTTGCGAAAATAAGTACAAAGTGCGCAAACACATTTATGTTACGAAAATAATTCAAATTGCTCGTTTACACGGTCTCCGATCCGAGTTCTGACACGAGGAACGCGTGTAATTGAGACCGGGGGACTGATTCTCTTTCGCGAAACTCGTTCGCGTTCGTCGTGTCCCGGGCGCGAACGCCCGTGCACGCGTCACTTGACGGTGTGGATGCGAAGGAACGGGGCCCGCTGCTGACGGGTTCACTGACCGATGCGTGGCACGAGAGAACGCGCGCGAGAGAAGCCGCGAAAGAGTGGCGGCGTATAGAGTAGACCGTGACCGTGGCCGTGACCGTGACCGTGGCCGACTTGCGATTGCAATAGGCAACCAACGCGGCGCAGAGAGGTGGCATACCGAATATATACCGCATACGTGCGTGGCGAGCCACGATCTCGAGGAAATTAATCGAGCAACAATCGGCCGAACGCACATACGATCGAGCTGTGTGTTCGCGGGAACAAAATAGCGGTCGCTCGAGAAGAAAATACACATAAAGCGCAGTATACAAGATTAAAAATCGCAATCGCCACGTAATCGTGTTTTTGTCTTTATACTTCTCGAAAATCACAGAAGAGAAGATAAAAAAGAAAACAAATTCGCGCGGAATAGCACAGCAGTCGCATCGTATCGTCGAGTAAAAAACAGACGAAGGATTATTGGCTTAAGTTGTATATTTGCTATACAATAATCACATTCGTCCCATATATATAATATGTATATATATATATGTATTGTGTTACATAATACAAATTAATACACGTGATATACAAATTCCATGATGAAGTACACACAGATTCTAAGTAATTCTCTACATAATTCTCTTGCTCACACACTCGTTCTTCCTCTCTCTCTCATTCTCTCTGTCTTTCTCTCCCTTCTTCCTTTCTCTCTCTTTCTCTCTCTCTCTTTACATTCACGAGATACAAATAAATGTACAAAAAAAACGATAAAGAAAAACCCATGAATTCATTATTCTTATTCGGGCAATAAGAATTACGTATTGGTCGGGCACAGTCGGTACGATCTGGGGATTCGTGATGAAAAAATATGGTGATGATATATTTTTTTGTATGAGAAATGCGCGAGACAATTTTCGAAATTTTCATTTTGAAACAACATACGCAACACGTGCTATAAATTGTTTTCTAATGTAAAACTTTGTATCATACTCGTATATATCATTGAGGTAATTTATTCTCGATTAATTTTTTTTCTCGAAGCTCGCTGCGGTGTTGACGGTACAAAATGTTATCTATAATATTCTAATATATATTAAATTTCTCCTCGTCTCGTCGCTTTCATTATCATACAAATACACGACGCGGCGTTTTTACTAGTTTACACAATTGGTCGGTGAGGAAACACCACAGGCTCTAATATATATATATATATATATATATATGTGTGTGTGTGTGTAGATACGATTGTACATGTACACGATTTTGTTAGAATGATGTTCTTAGGGTAAACTTCTCAACTTTTCTCTACAACAAACGTACTCTCGCTACAACAGACATCTTGCCGAGAACATGGTTTTCAGATCTTCGGAGCGCATTGACGTTTCCATCATGCACAAATGAGAAAAAGTAGATAATATGCAGCGTTTCTATTCGTATAAACATTATCAATTGTACTACGTAGCACCAAGGAAGAATATTCTATACGAAAAATCCATAGAAATCTCTTTGTACTTTTTGTAAATAAATAATAATACACGCGTTATCATATGTGTCGAGATGCGTGTACAACTTGTTTTTTAAATTGCTAAAAACTTATTTCACCTGTGAGAAACCAACGCGACTAGAGCAAGTAAAATTACGTAATAGCGTGTGTGCACCACATTGTTAGAATATAAATTAGTTTTTACAGCTAAACATTCAAAATTACTTATCGACGTATATGTGATATTGTTGTTTCAAGGATAGATATCATGATTAGAGAATAGAAACGCCGATAATTTCTCTCCTCTTTTTCTGTGGCAACGTCTTTCGTCTGGTTTTTTTTTTCGAGTCAGCAAACGTTTAGCATGCAATTTTGTACACTTGTATTTAGACTATGTCAACATGTAACACACAGACAATTACATCGATTAAACAGGATATTTCTTGATTTTTTTTCTCCAAAAACCATATTTTTTATATATATATATAATCTAAGTAATTTCTGTTAGAGCAGTTTTATATAATTGTATGTGTATATATATATATATATATAAAAGTACTGTGGATTTTTGTTTTACGTATATTATTGACATTCACCCTTTCGCGTTTACGCCATCTCAATACTTCAGAAATACTGATCGCGACGTGCATCGCTTAATTTCTACTTACATCTTGTACTAGTCTCTAAAGTATGTATATGTGTACATATATATGTGTGTGTATATATACGTGTGTGTATTTTGTCGAGTACTAGCGAATAGATGTCCAATCGATTACGAGGGAAATAATTCTTTAATAAATACCGTCTCGTTTTACTTAAGACACATGTAAGTAATTGAATTTCATATGGCAACGTCAACTGAAGAACATGAAAAACTCATCCACTCAAGTCTAAGGTTTGGCATTTTTCTCTTTTTGTTATTACGTTCTTAATAATTACTCGCGGAGTGTAGTAAGGCTAATGGTGGCTTGATTATCGCCTCTTCTTTGAGTAGCCGAACATGGTATGGGGCGGGGGGGGAGGGGTAGGGGAGGGAAAGAGGAAGACGATTTTATTCTTTCCAGTCCTTCTTGATCTCGAACGCCCATTCCCACTTGAGATGTTCGTTCTTATCGTCGTCCGTGAACAGGGAACTGACACTGTAGGAGCCTCGCGCCATTACACCGGCCGGTGCGTCCTCCGCCGGAGTCGTGTACGACTGAAGCTCCTTTTTAGGCGGATACGAACCTACCATGTGCGTCATCTTGTCCACTGAAACAAGGAGATCGCGAACATAGAATTTATTCGATACTGAGTGAGTCACACACTGCGATTGTCATATATTTACCCGTGACTCCTAATTCGCATTAGAAGCATTAACAAGAAATCAAAATTTAATCACAAATAATGCTACGTTATTAATCGCAATTAATCTTTCCTCTGTCTCTGTCAAAGGGAAAATATAAAACGTACCTGGTACACCGAGACGATAAGTCTTCTGAACGTATTTCAATCCGTGCACGATCTCACGTTGCACGATAAAATCGATCCTAATTTTGTAGCTCACACCCTCCTTAATGACAAACGTCTGTTTCTTGAGTTGCGCCAAATCACCGGTCAGATCCAGCTCCATATCGGGCCGGTCGGTGACGCACAATGCCAATTTCTTTAGTATCACTTTCCTAGGATCATTTGGATCTACAAGCAAATCACGTGCGATTAAGAATATCGTCGTTATATACTGTCACTTTTTGCTGTATTCCAAACAAAAAAAAACACGAGATCATTTTTGTCCAATACTGTCTTAAATTTTGTATTATTTACACACACAAAAACACACTTGCCTACTATGACACCGCCAGCTTTCGCTTCTCCGAGAAGTGTCTCCTTGTACTTGCGCAAACTCTCGTCCTCCTTGTCCGCTTCCAAGATCTGCTCGATTGTCTTCTCCGGCGGAGGTTTGTAATTGGAGTCCACTTCCAATTCCTCTTCCAACGCATCTACATGATCGGTAGGGTCAGACATCGCTACGTTCCCGAACCCCAGGAAAAATAAATATATAAAAACACTTGCGAGAGAAAAAGAGAGGAGAGGGGAGGGAAGAGCGCGTACGCGAGAAAGAAAAAAAAAAACAATGCGCGATATGTGGAATTCTCGATCGCTGACGGATACCTCGGGAATTCGGTGACTATCACACAGACCGGGAAGAGACGGAAAAAAACCGAACCTGTGCTGTGCGATCGTGTGTGTATCGACGGAATATTTTTAGACAATTCCGCGAGATCGATCGTGCGGTCGCGTGTAATGACAGAAACCAGCGGGAGATCCTTCGCAATCCCGTTCCTTTCTCTCGTGCTCTCTACTCTTTCTGCACTTTCTCGCCGAGCGAAACAGCTGTATGGGATTGACACGAAAATAAAAATCCAAAAAATACACGCGGAAAGAGCGACAACGAACGAGTCGCGTTTAACTCAAAGCGATTGTTATCGCATGTCGAAACACACGCCTCGAATCGATCGCGCGTTGCACATTTGATTCGATTTAAATCGAATCAGAAATTACGAAGTTACGGAGGGAGAGGAAGGGAACAAAAGGGGGTGGAGATTAAAGTTCCTGTGTCCAGCTACACTCTGTCTCTGCTCCGTTTTGTCCTCCGCCCGATAATTGACGGTGCGAAACCGATATGGAAGCGATATCGACATGACACACGCGAGCCAAGACCACAATCAATCGCGTTGTATTATTTATCGCGTGTATTATTTGTCACATATACGCGAAGCTTCTCATTGTCGCCGAGAGATGTGAACTCAGCAAAAATTTTTTATTTACCGGCTTCGCGGATAATATTCTTCGCTCGATGACTTTTGTCCCTTTTGTTTTTCGAGATCGACCACTGAGAAAGCGCGGCTGGAAAGTTTGTTTTTCGCGAATCATCAAAAATTACAAACCGCCTCCCGCGTCGCCGACGCGAAAAAAAAAAGGGATCGGCCGCCGCGACCTCCGCGAACTCCGTTGCTGGAAGAGAGAGACGATACACGCCGGCCGATCGATGGAACCGAGCTTCGCGCTCTGCCTCTGCGATATCGCCTCGTAATCCTCGAGAACACTTACCGTTTACTCCCGGGATTGTCTGACGGACACGATATAAACGACGACACGACCGGCGTGTGTTACCCTCGCGCAGATACGCACCGGATTATCGGCCGATTATTAATCTCGTTTCGTCCGCCCCACCGCCTCGCCGAACGGAAGACACTTGGCCAACATGGCGGTGCAAGGGCGGGTACTTCCTGCGTCCGTCGCGTTTCAAACGCAGGTTATGTCGGGCGCGACGTCGCGTGTATAACAACAACCGCAGGCAAAACAATCGCGCGTTTTTCTACGCGATAATAAAAAAACGTCACAATTTTATTCCAAGGTCGGGATTTTTACGCGGGGACGTGTTTTATGATCCTCTTTTTATTTTCAACACATCTCAACAACGTTAACATTGAATGAGAATTGTTGGTTGTATTTTTTTTTTGAACATTTTATGTATTTTTTCAAGTTTTATTTCCCACGTTTCAATTTTTTGAAAGAAATAAAATCATCCGAACAATAAATTATATTTATTATATATTATATTATTAATTATATTTATATTTAATAAATTAATACTTAAGAATATGTATTTATGTTTAAGAAATTTAATGTGCATCTATAGAAGTTTTTATATTTCGAGAAATATATTACCTCATGAGATTCCATGTTATCGTAGCGTTTGTATATGCGATTAAAAAACTTCGCAATATATTTCTACAAGTTAGAGAAGAAACATATCATACGTGCGCTCAGTTTACCACGTTCTTTCGAAACCTGAGTTCAAGTTCTGTTTTGGAGTACGCTCTGGCAGTGGTCTAAAAGTTTATCCACTCCAGTTTTGTTCCTAAAATTTGGCCGTGAGTTTTGCAATTTCTCACGCAACAACTCCGGGTGAATCGTCGCAACACACTTCAATGCATCTGTGGAAAAAAAACAAAAGAAACGATGCATTTAAAAAACTGTATTAAAACCACATGCGTTGAAACAAATTACGTAAAAGAGAAAAGATCGGAGAAAAACTCACCTAACATGATTTCTTGGAAATGAGACTCCGGATCGTCCAAGTGAATAATCATCGTTGTGTACAGAACGTCAATGTGACTTCTGCCGAAGACTATGTCGTAATTCTCGGGTGCGGCGCTCCACACGTCCACAAGCGCTTCAACGGCGGCGGAACGAATCTCGTCGCAGCCGTCGTCCAGTCTCTTCAATATGACCGGATACGCACGGTTGATGTGCTCGTCGCTCAGACAGCACAGTTGTCGTCCAATTGTGATTAGCAAGCAAATGGCGCGCATGGAATACAACCTGGTCTTCTTCGCGTTGTCGTCCATCAGACTGACCAGGACGGGCACAACCGTGTCGTAAACGGACAGAAATTGATCCACATTGATCGATAACTCAGATTTTTCGTTTCCTCGTGTTGCGGAATCGCCCGCCGCATCGTCGACTATGTTCTCGTCGTTGAGTTTAATTATTTTATTTTGCAGAACGGCACAGAGACAGCAAACCGCAGCTGTGCGAATAGCTTCGGCCGCTCTGCCAGCGGTCCAGACAAGTCCGGGCACGACCAGTTCCTCAATGACCGTGCTCACGAACTTGTGCGAATTTTCAACGTATCGATGCAAATCCTGATTGTTCAAGAAGTATTCCGAGAGTAGAATAAAGTGTCGCAGTTTCAACTCCGAGTCGGCGTCCTTGTTCACGGTTTTCTTGAGGATAGGTATCACGAGATTCATGTTGCGCGCCGCAGCAGTTCCGGCGCGGTTCAGACAAGCGCGAAAAATCTGCGACTCCGCGTTGTACACCGACCACGAGCCGCAATCGTCGTGAATTGACATTATCAACTGTCTCACACAATTGCAGAAAAGATCGTCGACGTTTCTCAGGGAGTTGTTTACGTCAACGAGCACTTGCAGCAGTCTGTCCGCTTCCTCGCTAATGCCAGACTCATTGCTCATTGCGTACACGGTGAAAATTATGGAAAACAAAGCCTGAGTAACAGCTGCGCAATCCTAAACATTGAACACATCTGTATATCAGAAGAAATAAGACTGAAATGTAATGAAAAAACAAATTATTATATACATATTTTCGGACCTCTTTGCAAACTAAAAGAAGAGAGTTGCAACAGGACAGAATCTGACGTTGGTACTTGCTCTTTTTGCTTTGGCAGATGCACGGCTGTTGCAAAAAATTCGCGATCTTATTCAGTTCTAACGAGAGAGCTTTTCGCTCGCTACCGCTGAGAATCGCCGCGAACACGTTCAAATGCCCGGCTGTCGGAGATTGTTCCAGAGTGGGGATCACTAGATGGCAATAAACTTTCGGTTCTACGAAGTAGCCCAGGTAACGTGCCGCGGTCTCCACACAACCAACGACTCTCTTGTCTTCGTCATTGCAGGCGCTGAAATGAACACACCGCTGTAAATAGATTTCTTTTCATCTATAAATTTCTAAAATGAAAGCCAATATATTGTATTGTTCTTTACCGATACATGGACGGCAGGAGTTTCTCGATATGTTGTGTAATATTCTCTTCCGCATGTAATATCAACACACAGAGCAGCTGTGCGGAGCGCACACGTATATCCGGCAACCAGTCTCCGAGCTCGGTACTGATACCCTTGATAAGCACGCCCAGATTCCGTTGTGATATCTCGCGACATCCTAAATTCGGTCTGGAAACTAACGACTACGATCTCGCAACGATATTCTCCAAATCTCGCACGAGCTGTTCTGCTCTTTTGCGTAAATGCGTAGTTTACCTTCTGGAGGATAATGCTCCGGATCTTCTGTGAGAAAATCCATTTTATCCTTCAACTTCTCATCATTCTCGTTTTCCTCCATGTACAATTTCCCCGCGGCGTCCCACATATCCGCTGCTCTCGCGCGAATTTCCGCGAGTTCATCGTGCAGTCCCGTCAGGATCAGAGGAAGAAGTTTGTGCCACCAGCTGTATCTGTCGGGCAGTTCTACTAACCAGTGGCCAGCTACTTCAACTACAGCTGTGTAATTTTCAATAAAATTATATAAAACGGACGAATAAAAACTGATTTAAAATTGTGGGAATAAAAAATATTTTGTAAAACATGAAACACACCTTGTCTGACAATTCCACTCTGATCGAAAAGCCTCTGCGCTAAAGGAGTCGCGACTTCTTCCATTGATTTGCTGTTTCCGTATCGCATCACGTCACCTATCGCTTGAACGGCACCAAGCCGAACTCTGTAGTGCTGGTGCGTAAAGTTGCTCAATATGGGTTTGATCAAGTACTCCGATTGCGAATAGAAATGTCTGGGTAGAGTCTTCGCGTAATCCGATATGCACTTGCAGCTCTCCTTCTTCACATTTGGATATTTATCCGTAACCGTGCGCGCCAGTATTCCCGTCACATCCTGAATGTACGACGCCAACAGATCTTTATACCTCGAAATGATCGTTCGCAGAAGAGACACGCAATTCAAACGCACTTCCTCCGACGACTCGATCAGCTCCTGCGAGCCTAATCGTCTCGACATTATCGGTATTACGTAATTTATGTGTTTATCTTCGGGAGGCAGAGTTTCCAGAAATATCTTCAGTATTTCCACCGCCAGTTCTCGACATATCTCTGTGTTATCGTTCAAAATTCTGACTACCAATCTGTGCACACTGTCCCACACTTTCATCATCTCGTCAAGATTGTTCGACAATCTCTCCCGAGACATGTTCCTCACCATTTCCTCCAGTGCTTGTTTGCGACGGTTTTTCTCGTCCGCTTGCAACGAAACGATCATTTTGTTCAATTCAAGATCCAGTGCCATTCTATGTGGAGTGTGGAAATTATTTTCTAGAACAAAACTGACAAATTACAAGACGCGAAAGCACAAGACTTCGCACAAAAACTTTCAGAACACGAAGTATCTTAAACACTATACGTTTCCATGACGACACTTCTATTTGATCTAACAATAAGTAACATACACAGTTTTTTGCATATAAAAATTTCACGCAAACAAGTATTTTATTATGTACAATCGTATAAATAAAAAATGTATCACATGTAAATCATCTGTAAAAAAAAAAATCTGTAGAAAAAATATCTTGAAATATATTTATTATATATCAATCTAAAATACAGAGCGTAATTACACAATAATACAGTAAAAGTAACACTAGATCATTTGGTAAGCACAGGTTACACGTCTATAAAACGTTGGAATTTCTACAGGCTTTACAACACTCTACTCTGTTACATTTATATATATCTATTATATATTACATCCAGCTATCTCTGACAGCGGGATACTTCTCTCTGTCTACGATTATCAAGACTATACATATTTAAAAAAAAAAAATTTGGTTTTCGCAACAAACCTGTAATCAATAAGACGTTTCAGTTTAATAACTGATAAAAACACAAAGAGACTAGTCAGTTTTTCTTTTTTTCTTTTTTTTTTTTTTTTTTATCGTATTAACTGCAATGTCAAAAATGGGGAAATATAAAAATAGTGTAAAAAATTAAAAGACGGATATGTTTTGGGCAATGGTCCCCCGGCGTTCTCGAATCTCGTGTTGATTTTCAACACGCGCGCACACACGATGGAATTATAAAACTCTTCCTGTACAGTCAAAAGGCGCAGCCCTAAATACTTAATCTTCCAAGGTCACGTTTTTGAACAAATAGGACATCGATTCTTTGTGATGTATGCGTCGTATCGCCTCTGCCAATAGAATACTGATATCGACAGTCTTGATCTTTGGACATTGCATTTTTTGCACATCGTGAGGAACTGTGTTGGTTACAACCACCTGGAACAATTTAAACAAACGGAGCATTTAGCTTTTTGTTTTGCGTCACGTCGATTTTGTTTTGTTTTTTTTTTTTTTTCCGACAGGTTTTATTTGAACCACCTCGTCAATCGGTGACTCCTCGATGAGTCTTGGCGCATCCGAGCTGAGCAAACCGTGCGTGGCCAAGACATATATTTTATTCGCTCCTCTCTCTTTGAGCACTTCGGCGGCCGCTACGTATGACTGTACATCGTCTATCATGTCGTCCTGAGAGTCAATTTCTCGTTTTGTAGAGATCGACAATTTCACGCAACGTACAGATACAGATTTTGTCAACTTACGACCATAATAGCGATGCGTCCTCCAACGTCTCCTACGACGCTTATAGGCGGTTTTTCCTTCGCCGGATGCAACGGCACGCCGACACCAACTTCCATTGTACGAGCAGCGAGCGGCAACGCTGGCGGCGAATAACGACCATCGTTCATGTCCGACTCAGCTTCTCTCTGTTCTCCGTGAATCACCGCGATTCCTAAACGCAATCTCTCTGCGTAACTGGTTGCTTTCTTTGCACTACCTGGATTTCTTGCAACTATCACAGAATTATGATAGTCGGGAATCTGACAAAGAAAATTAAACACGATGTGTGTGACAATATACACGAGAAAGAAAGAGCAATGTTATAAATTACAAATTTACAGTGATAACAAGTGCAAAAGGTTTGCTCTACGTACGGATTCTTGAATATACTGCAGAAGAAACGGACTAGCTCTTAGATTATCCACAGGAACATCAAAGAAACCTTGGATTTCTTTCTGATGGAGATCCATAGTGATGATGTGAGTTAGACCGCTGGTGCACAACATCTTCGCAAGAAGCTTAGATACGATGCAACCGCGTTTGCGCATCTTGCACTGCTTGGAATATGGCAAATAAGGAATCACTCCGACTATGTTTTTGGCGGACGATGTTTTACATGCGTAGGCCATAATGAGAAGTTCCATGATGTTGTTGTTGACGTCCTTCGTGCCGGTCTGTATTAGAAACAAGTCTTTGCCGCGCACGGAATCTCCTATCTCCACCATCGTCTCGCGATTCGCTTTATGATACACAGCACAGCCACCTGGTTTTACACCTAATCGACTTAAAAAACATGTTTTTGTGTACATTTTTTTGAAAAAAAATCATTAAAAAAAAATATTAATTCTAATTACTTGTACAAAATCGATTTTTCTAAACCGTTTTTGAAATTTTCCATTTATGGTCTCTTGTAAAATTTGAATTGTATTTTTTATTTCAAATATGCACAAGTTTGTGTCAAGTTTGTTTATCATCCTTAAGAGAATATTAAAAACTTAATAAAATCCAGCGGATGGCATTGCCAAGTAAATAAACAAATCACAGGCGAGTTTAAGTCAATATCAATTAACATAAACACACGTTAACATTGAAACATCATTCAAAGCAGAAAAAAACTATTCAATATACTACATCAGACTCTCATGTACATATTGATCAATCTGGTGTAATCAAACATCTTCTATATTTGCACACTACATTCAATGTTTATTCCGCATACTGTTACTCGTTAACGTCATTTCCTCGCTACTTACTTTGCAATCAGATTAGCCAACTCGGGATGGGAGTTGCCGGCGATAATAACTATGTCCGATGACACTTGTTTCTCCATGATTTCAATCGGAAAATCGCTTGTCAGTCACGTAGTAAAAAAAACCCTTTTCGAAAAATAAATGCTGAAGTTTCCTACAATCCTTTAAAAAAAAAAAAAGAAAACTGTGTTATTACACACTTTTTAATCGTGAATTTGTTTTAACAAAACAAAGTCGAAATCCTCGCGCTTTTGAAGACTGAAATTGTTATTCGACTTATTATTTTCAGATCTTTGAGTTGCAATTGTTACATGATTTTACCACAAAATTATACGTGCGGGAAAAAAACCGAGGCATATAACGCGCAACCTCGCGCAGTCATATGATTTCCGCTTATTTCCGAACAAACAAATCTCTCAAACAGAACACGTAGCTCGCGTGTTAATAAACAATCGATCAAACTTTGCTCTCACACGCACGCTATCTCTGACCGCGATTAAATGAAACGTGCCAACATGACATCAGTCGCGCAACTCTACGTTACCTGTTTTCTTACGAGATTGTTTAGTTTCGCTCGCCACTTCGCTAGCATATAAATTATTACATTATTCAATTATACAAAGCCTCGAACCGAAAAACGTGCAGGTTCATGCTCGCGGTCGTGTGCACACGTACTTACTTCCTCTCTCGCCACCTCGCGTATTTAATTTGACGATGTAAACGACGTGTGGTGGTAACCTGTAAACACACATGTTAGCACACGTATATATACACGCGTACACTAGGGCGCATTAGTGACCGACGAACACGTTTACGAAGTATCTTCACGTCGATGTTTGCCGATTGTTCACGCGCGTTTCCACATGTGACTGCGCAAAACACACAGCTGAGTCACAGGATTTTCTTGAGTACATGAAAAGTCCGTTTCTCAGATATCGCAGAAAAATTACAACGCAAGTTTACGTGAGCAACAGTATCTTACAGGTGCGAAGAGGTGGAGATCCACTTGTGGATCGCGATTGCCGCGATTGGTCGATTGCATTAAAAGCACTCGGTACGAAAGAAGAATGAGAGCGGCCAGGTCCAATAAGAGTTTTTACGATCGCTTTTCCGTCCCGTAAGCTAGTGCATGTCCACGGGTGGTGCACATTGGCAACTACGTAGCGATCGTCCACGACTGACTTGTCGATACGCTATAACCAAACGTGGACGTGGTTCTATTCCGTGTTACGTGCACGTGCGTCGGTATTTAAATTCACGTGACTTTACTTTTGTTAAAGGCCTCAATGATCTTTAGCGAAAGGTCAATGGCCTTTACCGGAAGGTCAATGACCTTTAACAAAAGTGAAATCACGTGAATTTAAATACCGACGCACGTGCACATAACACGGACTAGAACCATGTCCACGTTTGGATATAGCGTACATATCGACAAGACGATCGCTACGTAGTTGCCAATGTGCACCACCTGTGGACATAACGCTGGCGTACAGGGCGGAAAAGCTGGTACAAGTTTTACATGGGTTTGGCCGGTCTCAGTCTACTTCCTGCCCTGGCTGTTAATGTCGTCGATATGACAGATTTTCTAACCGTAAAAGTTTTTTGTCGTGACAGTGTCAAGAAAATCCAAATTAGGTCTAGGAAAAAAAAAAACACTCACTCGCATTATAAAGATCTCATAATCCTCTTCTCTCCGTAGAGCCGATGAGTCTTTTTTTCTGTTCAAATCTTTTCGTGCAAACAGAGAATCAAACATATTTCTTATAGTTAGAGAAGTTTCCTTTCTAAATTTATAAATAAATTTTTTTAAACTAATTATATTTTCGCAGATGAGTCTCACAATTCTGAGGATCTGTGGCGAGTCTCGTTGAAACGAGACGAAAAAATGACGAACACGTTCTCGGAGAGCCGCTTGTCGTTCTTGGGGAGCGGTTTAAATGCCACCGACTGATCTTCATTTTTTGACAAGTCGCTCATTTAAATGCCACGAGTTTGATCGTTTCGTGTTCGAAACAAACGAAAAAAGCAAGCATGCACGCGACGAGGGCCGACACTTCTGAGAGACGATTTGAGATACAATGCAAGTTGGAGTCGGAAATAGCCGCCCTCGAAACTCTGAGGGAGGCGGAGGAGCGTAGCCGAAGACTGACGAGCGGAGTGGTCGGTATTCTCTCCTCGTTGGAGGAACGTTTAGCTACGCTACGTCGCACGATATTGCCGGTCTACAATGAAACCGGAAATCTTCAAGCTCAGCAGCACAGTACGTAGTCGCGGTGCGATCTGGCTTGACTGAAAATGGTTCCGGGAAATATGTCTGTTGCAATTTTATTCGCACACTTGTTTTTCTGACTTGCAGATATAGAAAAGACTTTAAGTGTGCTGGATCACGCCATCGGTTATTACGGAGTGTGTCAAGAAGTGGAAGACGCGGTGCGCGCCGGGCCGAGCGGCCCCGGCGGATTGGACGGCTTCCTCGAGGTCATGAATCGTCTATACAACGCTCAGCGATACTTCCAGAAGAACAATCCGAGCTCGGTCGAGCTGGAGAATGTCACGAGTCTGTTCATGAGCGGCCAGGCGTCGCTTTACGGCGAGTTCCACGACATCCTCACTCGTCAGAGCAAACCAATACTTCCGATTGTGCTTCTCGATCTGATCGGTTCCGACGAGGACACCAGTGGCGAGGACGCGCCGCAGTCTCTGTGCCAATTGCCGGAGAGCGTCATGAGCGATTTGCTTAAGATTGCCGGTTGGCTCGAGGAAAGGGGACTCCGTAACTACGTGAAAATATATGCTTCTGTGCGTTCCAGCATTGTTCTGCGATCTCTGCAGTTGTTCAAAGAACATCAGAGGAGCGCCAGCGGCGGTAGCACCCATGCCGGAAGTCCGATGCCGGTAAATGATCGATTCTTGCGAAATTTTATTCAAAATTTAGCACTTCTGAATAAAAATTGTAATCTTCAACGTTGCAATTTGCAGAGGGCGAAGTTTGCCAATCGGCACTCTTTGACCGGTCAGGAGAACGCGGGGCGCAAAGCGTCGCGACGGCTGCAACACGCCTTGGAGAAGAAGGCTAACAGAATGTTGCTGAAAGCGTCGCAAACAACGGGACTGAATCTGTCCCTGACGACGTCCAGAAAGCCACAGCCGCAGCTCTCGCCGTACTCGATGGAGGACGCGGCGCCCGACGAACAGGAGATGGACAACTATCTCCTGCTGGCGGCTGGTCTGCACAAGCTCATGCAATCCGAGCGAACGCTGGTCGCAAAAATCATGCCGGTCTCCCTGCAATCTCAGGTTCTCGAGGCGACCGTGCGCGACGCGATGGATCTGGTGGCTCACGACGGCGACAGCATAGCCACGCGAGCCAAACGATGCATCACGAGACGCGATTTCTCCGCCGTTCTCGTGGTGTTCCCGATCTTGAAGCATCTTGGCGAACTGAAGCCCGATCTTGAGAGAACGGTCGAGGGTTGCGATTACGCGCTACGCTCCAAGTTCGCGTCCGTGCTCGACACGCTGAACGCAACTGTACGCTTCGCTCAGTTTGATTAAAGTTGACATTTTTTGTGATATTGCAGTTTTTTTTACAAAATCTAATACAGATATAACAAGCGAAAATAAATCTTTGTTCAGGGAGCTAAAGCTTTGGAGGATTTCGCGGAGAGTGTGAGAAACGAGTCCGGCGCGCCTCTGCCGAAAGACGGTACCGTGGCGGAAGGAACGAGCAACGTTCTCGTTTTTCTGGAACAGCTGGCCGAATACGCGGACACGGCCGGTGCTGTTCTGCGACGCAACATCGATGTGGATCAATCTGTGTCCGCGAAGAACGCGGAGAACGGACACAGATTGGTTCTAGGCGTGTACGTCAGTAAGTGTCGCGTTCATTTACATTTTTTCGAAAATAGCTAAAGCAATAAAAACAAAACAAAAAAACGATTTTGTATCTTTTTTGTTTTAGAAAAGGTTCTCGCTCAATTGAATTTGGCTCTAGTGAGTAAAAGCGACGCGTCTTATTCCGATCTCGCTCTACGAGCTTTATTCCGATTGAATAACCACAATTACGTCGTTAATGCTCTTCGGCGAAGTTCTCTTATTGAGTTGCTGTTGCTGGCCGAACCGAGCGCGGAACAAACTTATCACGATCTGCTGCTCAAAGACAGAAACAATTACGTCAATACGACGTTCGCCAAAGCGCGATCTTATCTCGAGCAGTCCGCAGACGAGCCAGGTTTGTGAGGCTTTAAACATTTTTCTAAATATTTTTTCTACGCAATGTCTCGCATAAACAAAATGCAGTTTCATATATATTGTTAGTTCACTTTGTTTTTTTGTTTTTTTTAACAATAAGCGAGTCCGAATTATACATTAAAACCATTAACGACATTTAATTTTTTTAAATCTTTTTCACGTGAGTGCGTTTCATTTCAATGTTGCGCAGATCTCGCCGCAAAGACAATAAAGGAAAGATTCTTGAATTTCACGAGGGAACTCGAGGAAGTGGCCAAATGTCAACGTTCGTATTCGGTGCCCGACAGACGCCTGCGCGAAGAGCTGAGGAAGGAACTGCAAAACGCGATCGTGCCGTTGTACACCGCGTTTCACAACAAATATCGCGGCGTGTCGTTTTCGAAAAATCCAGCCAAATACATCAAGTACACGCCCGATCAGATATCGTCGCTGATCAATACGTTCTTCGACGCCGCTGTGTAACAACATCATCGAACAAGATATACATAAAAATTGTTTTCGTTGAGAGTAAAAAAAAAAAAAAAACCTTAGCAAAATATTTAATAAACACCCATTTAATAAAGCATATTTAGTTACAATAGTTTTATGATTTTTTTTCTTTTTTCCGTGGACCGAATCTTCTTCGTGTGTTTTTTTTTCTCAAACAAATTGCACAGAGATCAATGGATCTGCGGACAAAATTGAGAGTACTTAGGTCTTGGTCCAGCTCCCCCCGCCCACGTTTTATATATATTTATAATATATATATAAAAAACAAGTAACGTTCTTTCGATTTAGATTCGATCAGTGAATTTTATATATATATATATATAATGTATGTATACGGCTCTCGTATTACCACTTATACTATACACATTTATACCGTACAAGTCGTGTATAAAATTATATACTATCCGTGGTAATAAGTAGGAATACATTTGAAGTTTTTCAGCGCTTATGTACAGTTGTTACGCTATGTAGCATAAGTTTCTCGCGCGTACTTTCACACTTTTCTCTCTTTCTTTCTCTCTCTCTCTCTCTCTCACACACACACACACTCTTTCTCTCTCTCTCTCTCTTCCACTTACATTTCTTTTTTTTCTTCGTATACGGACACTCTCGCGCACACACACGCACGGTCCTCTGCTTCGATAGTCATCTCTTTTTTTTTTTGTCACAAACGCGATGATTTTTCCCTTTTAATTTCGTTCCCGGGATGACACGACAGTTTCTGTGAGAAAGAACGTGATTCATCGCGCGCGCTTCAAAGGTCGTCGCGCGTGATGTTCCGAGAGAGACTCATTGTCATTAACAAATCGCGAAACGCGCGCGAAGCAGAGGAATCATATTAGTTATAAACACATTTATACTCTTTAATATATCACATACATCTAGAACTCTTGTACAATTAGTTTATTTCTTAAAGTATGGTATGTTAACGTTTACGTTTTTTTTTTAATATTAAACCAATTTTTCGTGGAAGAAGGAAGCCATGTTATGTTATTAGCAGTCGAGCTAATAATCTCGCTTGCGGAAAAAAAATGCAGCAATTGTTTTGTTTTTTTTCTTAACGAGCCAATTGTCGTGTGTTTTTTTATCGCGTAAAAAGATCATCACATCGAAGCGAAACTATTGCTAATAAACATCGTTGCGTGTTCCAAACAAAAAAATTTAAATAACAGACGTGCACATTGAACATCAAACGCAGCGCTTACGCATCAACATCTTCAATTAAATTTTATATATGTACAATTTTTCTGAAGTAAATCTATAGGACATTTATGTGTACGAGAAGGGCGTACGCGTTCATTTTGGGCGCTCGACAAGCTTTAAGGGTCGGTCTGTCCTGGTCGTTCATCTTAAATTGTGGAAAAAAAAAAAACAAAGTCTGACGCACGAGAAAAACGCGAGCGTCCCAAAACGAACGCACCCGAAGTCGGTACAGTGCCGGTTTTTTGCAAGAATTAACAAATTCTTCTTGTAAAATTTTGGTTTTCTTTTTTTTAAGGAATTGGATAACACACAGCATGAGACACATCCCGAAAGAAATGCGTACGGTATTTGCTCTAAGTACTTGGAAAAATGTGTGTGGGTGTGTATATGTATGTGTGTTTGTTGCGTGTAGAATTATACTGTTAATCACATTTATATAATAAACATCTAGATGAATATCGTCCAAACATCGTTTGCCACGCGTACTATATATGCGCATATCTCTAAAAAATATTCTCTGTTTTTTTTCTCCGAAGTTATATATCTTGATGCATATTGAAATCTTTTGCACAATAAGGAATCTACGTTAGTTTCTTCTTCTTTCTTTCTTTTTTTTTTCTTTTTTTTCTTTTTTCTTTTTTTTTTAAATACGCTAACATATGTATGTATCCTACCTAAAAATGTACAATGACAGATAGCATAAAATGGTTTTCCTCTTTGATTGAACTGATCAAGTGTGTAATCAGAGTTTGGACGCTTATTACAGTTACACGGTAGTATTTGCTTTTTTCTTTCTGTCGCCACTCGCGTTATCTCATTCATTTTAATGTATAATTATTAATTTTCATAATATTAATAAAACATACTCTAATATATATTTATAATATATATATATATATATATATATATACTATAATATACACTATAATATATATATATATACTATACAGCGCGGTTAGTTCAGTTATTTTGGCTTCTTCTTTTACATTTTTCTTTCTCTCTCTCTCTGTCTCTTTCGCTTAGAACGTCCAGTTTTCGATTTGCATTTTATAGCCCTGTTTTTTTTACTTTTTTTTCTTTTTTTTATCAGACTGTCTGGACCGGAAATTTTGCTCGCGCTAAACAAGCGCGCGAGCAAAACCTTCTTGCGATCGAATTTCTTTTGAGAAAGTGCTGGAGGCCACGTTGTAAAAGTTGTGAATTTAAATTTCTGACTGATTTTTGTAATTTTCCCTCTCTTTTTTTCTCTCTCTTTCATTTCTCTTGTGTGTGTTCTGTCTTCTGTATGTATGTGCGCGAACCCTCTTTTGTCTTTGCTCTTTTTTTTTGTTTTTTTTTTGTAGAAATGTACACCTGTTATAGGTGATATACTTGTGCGCTTATATGCTGGCAGATATTCGCAGCCCGTTGTTTATACGTTGATGTACATAGGCTGATGATACAACTGTGGGGTTCCGAATGTAAACTAACTTGTCCCGACTCTCAGTTTGAGCTTGGTACACCGGATAAGAGACGACGACACACTTTACCACGTTCCAGTGCCCAAGATGCAACGAGGAATTACATCTAATATTATAGAAGGCAACATCTGCGCTTTGGTTTGACCTGCAGAACGGGGCACAGCACGGCACGTATTGCCTCGTCGAACACGGTTTTCAAACCCTTCTGCGTTAGAGCGGAGCATTCCAAATATTTGACAGCGCCGATCTCCTTTGCCATTGACAAGCCCTACAGATAAGACAATGAGACATACTTTGAGAAACAAGCGAACGAACAAATGCCAGATCGTAGTAAGTCTACAGTTTTTGTTCGCGTGAAGTCTTTCGGTGTTGTTTTGGTGCACACATTGGTGCGTGCGTACGTACATAAAGAACAAAAAAAAGTCAAAATGATAAAAAACAAACCTGAGGATACGTAATGGGAGCCAGTTTCTTGTCTTTGAGACGTTCAATGGTTTCCTTGTCTTCGCGCAGATCTAGTTTAGTGCCGACCAAAATAATCGGAGTCGCGGGACAATGATGACGGACCTCGGGATACCACTTGGCACGTACGTTCTCGAAACTCGCTGGATTCACCAAAGAAAAGCAGATCAGAAAGACGTCGGTCTGTGGATAGGACAACGGCCGTAATCTGTCATAATCTTCCTGTCCTGCCGTGTCCCACAAGCCGAGATTAATCGGCTTTCCGTCAACCATCACGTTGGCAGAATAATTGTCAAACACTGTTGGAATGTACTCCCCGGGAAACGCATTGGTGGTGTAGCTTATCAGCAGGCACGTTTTACCTACCGCTCTGTGTGGAGAACACAAATAACGTCATTCAACATTTCCCTTTGACTTGATACAAAGCGGACGTTTCGCGGAAAAAAAAAAACAGTCATGCTTATCAGATGAATCATTACGTGAGAAGGACAAAACAAAAACCTCTCTTTCTCGACTCGTTTCACAAATCGGAGCGACTTTGCTACACTTTGTTCGCGTGCGCGCATTTTGTATTTTTCATCGTCGAGAGGAAACACGCGATATCAATTTGTAAATTGTACGAGCGTGTTGTTCGCACAGCGCGTTTGAAGGCTCCGATTTCGCGCGTTCCACATCGCGAACGTCCGCGTTAAAAAGAACAAAAAAAGAAAAAAAAAAAACACCACGGTAACAAAAAGAACGTGACGTTCCCGTGGAGAGAAAATACGCGTGAACACGTCAACGTTGGTTTTTACGAAATCCTCAACGCGACACGGGCGTGGTGAGGCATCGTCGCTCCTCGACGCGTTCCAGAAACGCGTCGAGGTGATCCGAGCTCGGACGACCGAGAAGCGCGTTCCAAGGTAATCCGCTCTCTGTCCCGTTTCTTGAGGAAGCCCCGATAAGCGACGATTCCCTTCGGTCCCTTCGGTCCCGAATCGCGGACCTTTCCCTCGCGCCTTTCCCGATTCTCCGTACGTTGTTTTTGTTTTTCGAAACCATGTTTTATATACGACAATCTGCGAATTTACATACCCGTCGCCGACGACCACGCACTTGATAGCCTGCATCCTGGATCCCCGAAGCCGTCCGTAATGCACACACGGGAGCCACACGTAAAATCGCGCGACGATACACTAGTCGATTCTAGCGGGAGGGAAAGAGAGAGCGAGAAAAAGAGAGACAGAGAGAAAGAGAGAGAGTGATGAGACGAGGCAAAGGAGGGCGGGAGGGGGAGGGAGAGGAAGAGAAGAACGGCGCGACAGGAAGAGGGTAGCGGAGGGCGAGAGATGCACGACGAGGGGGGAACAAAGGTGCGGTAAAGAGAGAGGAGGAGATTCGCGTAGATGAAACGTGCGGATGAGCGAGGTGGCTCGTATATAAGTATATACGACGAACGGAACACACGAAGCGAACAATCGAGGTTAGATCTCACGACGAGAGATGCACGAGAGAGCGCGCCAAGACGACTAGCCAAGACGCGATAAACCTTGACGACTGATTGGTCAACTCGGTCTGGGTTGATTCGGAGCGGCTCCGAAAGCGCGCGAGCGAAGCGCAACGAGAGAGCTCGCCAGAGTGTGTGATCGCAGCGGGAGGTAACGCGGAGAATAAACCACAACCGACGACGACGACGACGGACGACGGCGACGACGACGACCAGCAGCGCGTATATATACGTATACGTATTGTTACGTATTGCATGCGTATACATGTATATAGAGCTTTTGCCCGCAATTAAAAAAGATGGAAAGAGGAAATGATTCCACTTGCTGCGCTCAGCGGAAGTAAGCGCGACGATTACATCTGGAATTAGAATGTGCGGTTTTACATTTTCACAAGAGCAAGAGAGAGAGAGAAAAAGAGAAGAGATATTGGAATAAAATATTTCCGTAACACAAAAATCGTAAAAATTAATTACACGAAATACCGATCGGATGAGTTTCGATACTTTTAATGCCAGTGTTTTGTCTCAACTGTAATTAATTACATAAATAAACTATCATCTGGTTAAAAGAATCATCAACCGGTTGCGTTAATCGGAAATGATGGAACTGGCCGTTGAATTGTCACATCTTTCTTGCGTGACACAAAAATATTTTTTTCAAATTTATTTCTCTTGAATTCTAATTGAATTTAAAAAGAATTAAAAGGTAATTTGCACGACGTTTGAAAAGCGCGACAACATAAGCTCGAAATATTCCTAGTTTGGTTTTAGTTTCTTTTTCATTCATGTGTTGCTCAAGTAGCGCGTATGCATGTGTGTGTGTGTGTGAAATATAGAATTCATTTAATCTAACCCTATTCGAAACAGTTGGAGAAAACACCGCAAAACACCGGAAAGTTTGATTCTTAACTAAAAACCACAGTCCACCGGCGGAAATACGACTTCTTGGTGGAGATTTTTACACAGCGCGTATTTATATTCACGTGTCAAAAACAAATAGGAAAAAATGACCGCTTTTGAAGGTACGATGTTATTGCGTTATCTGTTGTATCAGGTTTCTTTATCGTTGGAATTTAATTTATAAATTTGTTAATTGCACCGTAAAGCGGTGCGTGAGCAATGCTTAACTCGTGTATAATTTGTTTTAGAAATGGGCGTTTTGCCAGAAATAGCACAGGCGGTTGACGAGTTAGATTGGACGTGAGTGAATATTCAATTCTAAGATACATCACATAAAAAGAAAAACAAAAAAATATAGCGCGCCTATATGATTTTTCAAACTGTGATTAATATTGAAAAAATTAAATTTTAGATTGCCAACAGATGTTCAAGCCGAAGCTGTTCCGTTAATTTTGGGTGGTGGAGATGTGCTCATGGCAGCGGAAACTGGCAGCGGCAAGACGGGTGCTTTCTGTTTGCCCATTTTGCAAATAGTCTGGGAAACTCTCAAGGATTTGGAATCTGGGAAAGGTGGAGGAGGTGCTGCACAAGTTCAACAACGTACGCACCTTAAATTTTAACAATTGCTAACTCAGTATAAGTTTGTTTTTGATTTTAAGATTCTTTGCTTTCATTTCTTGCAGCTGCGCATTGGGGACTGAGTTTGTTCGACAGAGGACGAGCTTTGGCAGTGACGCCAGATGGTCTGAGATGTCAGAGCAGGGAGCAGAAGGAGTGGCACGGTTGTCGCGCAAATAAGGGAGTTTCGGGAAGCGGCAAATATTTCTTTGAGGCCCATGTCACCGATGAGGGCTTGTGCCGAGTGGGCTGGTCTACATCTCAGGCAAATATTTGTAACATTACTTTCATAAATGACATAATATTCTGCCATCACAAAAACTATAAAGACTCTATTGATGGAGATGATAAAAAAATACAAGAGTTTGGATGTTTGTAACAGGCCTCCCTAGATTTAGGAACGGATAAATTCGGTTACGGATTCGGCGGCACAGGAAAGAAATCAAACGCAAAACAGTTCGATACTTACGGAGAACCTTTCGGGATGCACGATGTGATCGGATGTTTTCTTGATCTGGTGAAGGGTGAGATAAGATTCAGCAAGAACGGCGCGGATCTGGGGGTCGCGTTCACATTAAACGCCCAGCAAAAGTCGCAGATTTATTATCCGGCGGTCGTGTTGAAAAATGCCGAGATGGCATTCAATTTTGGAGCGCAACCGTTCAAACATGCGCCTCCGAACGACTACGTAGCCGTGTCGTCAGTTTCCAAAGAGTCCGTTAAACACAATCCCGTTAACAGCAGTCAAAATCAAACGCACGAGAGCGGCAAACCGAAAAATAACGCGCCCCAAGCCATTATCATAGAGCCTTCTCGGGAATTAGCTGAACAAACCTACAATCAAATTCAAAAGGTAAACTGTAACTTACACAATGTGCTATATATACAGTGTATACAATACTGAGTCATTGCTTTCCAGTTTAAAACGCACTTGAAGGATCCGGTAGTCAGAGAATTACTCGTGATCGGCGGAGTAAACGTGAAGGAACAGATCGCGACCTTGAATACCGGTGTGGATATAGTAGTCGGGACTCCCGGTCGGCTGGAAGATCTTATACAAGGCGGTTATTTGTTGTTAACACATTGCAGGTAATTTGTCATTTGATGTTGAGAAAACAATGACACGTGAGACGATGAACGCATTTCTTCAGATTTTTTGTGTTGGACGAAGCTGACGGGCTATTGAAGCAGGGTTACACCGAACTGATCGATCGCTTGCACAGACAGATTCCGAAAATTACGTCGGATGGCAAGAGATTGCAAATGATCGTATGCTCGGCGACGTTGCACGCGTTCGAAGTCAAGAAAATGGCTGTAAGTAAACGCGACGCGTCTATCATCATTCGGCAACACGTGTTTTGAACTTTGACCTTTGATTACAGGAACGTTTGATGCATTTCCCAACTTGGGTAGATCTGAAGGGCGAAGACGCGGTACCCGAGACGGTGCATCACGTTGTCGTGACGGTGGATCCGCAGAAGGACAAGTCGTGGCACAACTTAAGGAATCACGTGGAGACCGACGGCGTGCACGCGAGAGACAACGTGAGACCGGGCAACAACACCGCCGGTAAGACTAGGACATACGCGTGATGTATCAAGCCTGGATTTTTAACCGTACATTTGTTTAATCACAGAAACGTTATCCGAGGCGGTAAAGATACTGAAGGGTGAGTATTGCATCCGCGCCATCAAAGAGCACAAGATGGACCGGGCGTTGATATTCTGTCGAACGAAGCTCGATTGCGACAATCTCGAGAGATATCTGAAGCAGTCGGGTGGACAGCAGTTCTCGTGCGTGTGCCTGCACGGCGACAGAAAACCCGCGGAGCGCAAGGCCAATCTGGAAAAGTTCAAGCGTCAGGAGGTGAAGTTTCTCATTTGCACCGACGTCGCGGCCCGAGGATTGGATATCACCGGTTTGCCGTTCAGTGAGTAAACACGCTGGAGTCGAGCAAAGTTTCCGAGATAGCAAACGTGTATCGGATTTTCTTTTTTTTTTTTTTTTCCAGTGATAAACGTAACCCTGCCCGACGAAAAATCCAATTACGTACATCGCATCGGAAGAGTCGGCAGAGCTGAGAGAATGGGACTCGCTATTTCTCTGGTCAGTAGCGTGCCGGAGAAAGTGTGGTATCACGGCGAGTGGTGTCCCACTCGCGGAAGAAACTGCAACAACACCAACTTAACCAACCAAGGCGGTTGTTGCACGTGGTACAACGAGCCTCTGGTAAGTTGTTTTGAGTTCGCGCGTGTACGCGGAGTTAGAGAAAAATATTCTAAAAAACGAATGTTTAAAACACGTTTCTACAGTACCTGGCGGAAATCGAAGATCACTTGAACGTGACGATTCAGCAAGTCGGACCGGACATAAAGGTGCCGCTAAACGAATTCGATGGGAAAGTTACGTACGGCGAGAAGAGAGCGGCAATGGGTACGTAATATATTTTATTTCGCGTTTTCATTCTTGACTGACGAACGAAACTCGATGAACCTTCGTGTTTGTCGCAGGTTCCAATTACGAAAATCACGTGCAACAAATGGCTCCGATTGTGGCCGAACTGGCGGCGCTGGAATCCAGAGCTCAGATCGCGTTCCTGAAAACGCACATAGCGGCACATTAGTTACCGTTTCTCAATCCGAAAATAATCGGTCCTCCGAACTCTAATCTTACAGTGTTAGTATATCGAAGTACGGTCAAAAGCCGTGATGTGATATAAATATTGCGAAAACTAACAATGTTATTGTTTTTAATACGATATCTTATATCATTGCTAATATTATTTGTTTTGTATTTATGAACATTTCTGAAGCTTCTCTCGCGCGTTTGTTCAAAAATTGTGGCAGTAAGCTTGTTACACGCAATTAAAAAATATACACATGCAACAGCAGAAAAAGAAAACCGTGTGTTTCTTCTCCGTATTAAAACAATGTGCGACGATATCTCAATAATTGTATGTCCATTTAAAATCTCCGCCACGCTTTAACCGATAAGAAGAAAAATCTTGATTGAGTTACGAGGGCGAGAAATCTTCCGACACGAACACAATTAATGAAACATCCTCTCAAAACACACACGCCCAGTGCGAAACAATTCGGCCTTACGGTCCGATTGTCATTCAAGAGCACATCTGCCAATTATGTGAGACGTACGTAAGTGTTTATTGTTACAGTTCTCGAAATCATATGTTCATTGCTAATTGAGTTACACAAACATGCGATGATACAGCGGCTTTTTCTTTGTTTGTATAATTTCTTTTTATAATTAGTATATATAAAAAAAAAAAAACACAGATACACACAAGCATGTGTACGTGTGCTTACGTGCATCAGCGTTTTTTTTCTCTCTCTGTATGTAAGATCACACACGTATTATATTATTACGTACGCGCTCATAGAATTTGCTATAAATGACTTCTTCTCCGTTTAATTACACATATAATAATTTATACACATAACTCATATATTATATTCTCGAAAGTAAATGGCAAAAGTGACTAAAGTTATACAGTATACAAATCATTATTACCATTCTCTTTCCAATGCGGCTCGAATACACACACACACACACACACACGCAGCGTGCTTTATTTTCTGATTTTCTCTTTTATTTCTCCCTCTTTTTTTTCTCTCCTTAATTAATTAATGTGTTAAAGTTCTATGTTATAATTTACGCGCGATGAATTTTTTTTATTGTGCATTTCTCGCGTTTCACGCACGTATAGTATAAACGAGAGACGAGAAACGTGCGTCTCCGCGGTGTCCGATACACATCTAGATTTTTCACATCTTTCTTTCTCTTCCTCTTTCTTTTGCGCGCGCGCTCGGTTAGTACAACGCGACTGTTAATTAAATCATTATTCGCTAGAAATTAATTAATTTGTTTAGCCTTAAGATATTTCACGTAAACATCTGTGTTTTTTTTTTTTACTCTCATCTTTTATATTTAGCAGACAGTCATCACAGAATGAGAATGAAATATATTTTTCTCGTAATCTAGTAATATATATATATATATATATATGTACGTTTAAACACACAGTCACACGCGCTCGGTTTCACACACGCAACGATTCAAAATT